AGATGTTAGAAAGAGATATGAAAAGAGACACTGACAGGGAAATTTGACTTGCATAGTTCCTTGGGCACTTCTTGACAGTTGTAAAAAGCAAAACTCTCAAGTAGGAGTTGTTCTTTGTGCTCAAAATGGAAACCCATTCTTCTGGTGGACTTAATTCTCGATTTCTTTCTCCCAAATCGATGCCGGTTTTGCTGGGGCAATTTTTATAAGAGCACAAAGTACACAAAAAGTTTTAAACTACTTAACTTTCCAGTAAACATCACAAGTTCTATTTGTGATTGTATTTGTCAAGTTCAAGATTCAAGTACGAGTTGGGAAAAAGAAAAAGTGATTCCCCAGCTATGAGAGCTGAAATAACAGAGCTAATAATGAGGTACAATAACGTGAAAGTTAAACTTTTACAATTTTACAACAAAAATCAAGAAGGAATAGCTGCTTTGATGAAAATAAACAAGTTAGACTAACAGATATTTCCTTTTTTCTGATTCAATATCGAATTCTTGTCTCTTTTTCAAGTCTACATCCCTTCTCATTCGCAATTCCATAATCTAATCATGTGAGTCGGTTTGTTGACAAAGAAAGAACACAAAAAAAAGAAGGAAACCTTGATTCAACATCAGGAGCAGAAAAGGAGAAGGGATAAAGATCACAAAATGCTTTGGGGAAAATGTAATGAATCTGTGATCTGAGAGAGATTTTACAAACCGATTTTCCATGTCAAACCAATATCTAATCTATTCTAGGAAACCAGAATCTAGAGAAAAGAGAACCTAGGTCATGTTTCTTGACCTATTTTCTTGGCCTAGTTTCTTGGCCTATTTTCTTGGCCTAGTTTCTTTGCCTAGTTTCTTGGCCTAGTTTCTTGGCATTCTAATCTTGAAATAACCTTTCATGGGATCTAAAGTTATTCAATAAAAACTAACCAGTTACTGCTCAAAAGTCAATCCATCCTATGTCAGCCATTCATCGACATTTTTGGGAAAATCGCTAGAGCTTTGTCCACAAGAGCATCGATATTTTTGGAACAATCTAGAGCTTTGCATAGTCTTTTGCAAATCGAAAAGCTGATAATGATTTTATGATACTGTGAAGTTTGATGACAAAATCGTAACAAAGCCCGAGTTCCAATTGGTCGACTCAAGGCTTTAGGCAGAGGTTTTAGGCCATTAACCGTTATCCAGGATACTTCTAACCACCGCCAATCGATTCTCCGTCTCGGTTTACATAGAATACATCAGATAAAAATCCAATTTCAAGCTTTTGAGCTAGATTGGCGAGCTAGATTGGCTCAAAGTTGGGCAGAGGCAACCTTTGGGAATAGGTTTATATCTTAGACTTAGTTTAGTTTGTCTTAGCAAGCTTTTTTGAATGATAGAACTATCCTGGACCATGCAATTACGGCTACCAACCAAGCTACCTTAGATTTAGCTTTAGATAGGATTTTTAGCTGGCTCAACTTGTGTAAACTGAGGCGGAGAAGGAATCGGTAGTGGAACCGGTAGTGGTTCGACGGTCTAGTAGTGATTGTAATGGTTTTCCAAGCAAAGGTCAGGGATTCAATTCCTGCTTTTGGGAAAATCGCTATAACTTTGTCCAGAAAAGCCCAATCGATTTACATCAAAAGAAGAAAATTAAGCAAAATCTTCAGCTTACATCGTGGCTATAATGAAATGCTTCTGAAATGATGTTTATTTTGAAAAATTTGCATTTTTATGTGAAAATTTAGGGTTTTAAACCGTTAGGTAGAGGTTTTAGGCTATTAGTTAGAGATTTTTGATCATTAGCCGTTATCCAGGAAACTTCTAAACACTCCCAATCGATTCCCCGTATCGGTTTACATAGAAAACGTTCCAAATCCCATGAAAAGCTTGTCGAGCAAGCTAGAGGAGCTCAAAGTTGGGTTGTCACGACTTTTTTTGTGCCTCTGCCCAACTTTGAGCCAATCTAGCTCGCCAATCTAGCTCAAAAGCTTGAAATTAGATTTTTATCTGATGTATTCTATGTAAACTGAGACGGAGAATCGATTGGCGGTGGTTAGAAGTATCCTGGATGACGACTAATGGCCTAAAACCTCTGCCTAAAGCCTTGAGTCGACCAATTGAAACTCGGGCTTTATTACCATAAAATCATCATCAGCTTTTCGATTTGCAAAAGACTATGCAAAACTCTAGATTTTCCCAATCGCCAATCGATCGATTCTCCGTATCGGTTTACATAGAAAACGATGCAAAGCTTGTCGAGCAAGCATAAGCAAAATTCGAATCATTTCCAGACAATTCTTTGTTTCGATGCAAAGCTTGCTCGACAAGCTTTGCATCGGATTTTCACTAACGTTCGCTAACGTTTTCTATGTAAACTGAGACGGAGAATCTATTGGAAGTGGTTAGAAGTTTCCTGGATAACGGCTAATGGAAAAAAAAAACCTCTGCCTAAAGCCTTGAGTCGACAAATTGAAACTCGGGCTTTATGACCATAAAATCATCATTTCTTTTGGTGTAAATTGATTGGGCGTTTCTGGACAAAGTTATAGCGATTTTCCCAAAAGCACTGGCTGGCCAAGTAGCTTGATTGGTAGCCGTAATTGCATGGGCCAGGATAGCTCTATCATTCAAAAAAAGCTTGCTAAGACAAACTAAACTAAGTCTAAGATCTAAACTTATTAATTTCGATCTTAAAACTCAATTTACGTATACGCAAATGAAGTAAATGTTCTCAAAAAGGGCAAAAAGAAGCATAAAAGCTATAGTTCGAATCATTTTCAGACAATTTCATTCATTCGCAAAATCTTAGACAAATCGTAGACATCGTAGACATCGTAGACATCGTAGACACCAAAAAAAGCATATTTCTAAAGAGCACTCCTCTTTGTTTATTGTGAAAAGACAATTCTTTTCTTGTTTTTTTCACAAAAAAACGCATCTGTCCAATTCGATGCAAATTTTATTGGGAATTTGGGAGAAAATCCAGCAAAAAAACTAGTAAAAAACTGAAAAACTGACGAAAATTCTCAAAGCAGATGTACAAATTGGGAGATTAAGAAAGAAAGATTAGAATTTAAAGATTGGAATTTAGAGATTGGAATTTAGAGATTAGAATTTAGAGATTAGAATTTAGAGATTGGAATTTAAAGATTAGAATTTAGAGATTAGAATTTATAGATTAGAATTTAGAGATTAGAATTTAGAGATTGGAATTTAAAGATTAGATTTTAAAGATTGGAATTTAGAGATTAGAATTTATAGATTAGAATTTAGAGATTAGAATTTAAAGATTGGAATTTAAAGATTAGAATTTATAGATTAGAATTTAAAGATTAGAATTTAAAGATTAGAATTTATAGATTAGAATTTATAGATTAGAATTTAAAGATTAGAATTTAAAGATTAGAATTTAGAGATTAGAATTTATAGATTAGAATCTAAAGATTAGAATTTAGAGATTAGATTTTAAAGATTAGAATTTAAAGATTAGAATTTAAAGATTAGAATTTAGAGATTAGAATTTAGAGATTAGAATTTATAGATTAGAATCTAAAGATTTAAAATCCTGTAATTTTAAAGAATCTAGAATTTAGATCCTTAAGAAATTCAGAAATTCAGAAATAAAATTCTTGAAATCACTTTTTTTCCCTCCATTTTGTAAGGAAACCCCTTGAATCCCAGGCTTCCATTTAAGAACATTCAAATTTCAATTTGAATTTCCTTTTAAGCTCAAATTTTCATTTAAAATGAAAATCAATCACATACAACTGTTTTAAATGAAAAAAAAAATAGAAGAATTTCTTAATCAAATTTTAAAAAATCGCTCTGGCAAATTCATTTTAAATAAATATTTGACTGAAAAAGGAAAAGAATAGGATCTTGCTCTATTCTTAGAGAAATTATAAAAAGATTTTCAAAAATTCATGGAAGATTCGAATCAGAACTTTCAGAAAAACCATAATACTTAAAGTTAAAAACAAATTTACACACGCTAGAGCCAAAAACAATTTTCGGCCACCGACGTCCGAAGCCGTCAAAAAAGTCAAAATGCGTCTTACGGCGTGCGCAATAAAATAGTGATACTTCACTATTTTCCAATATTTCAAAGCGCAACCTTATAGTTCTTAATTAGAACTAATCCAATCTTTTTACATTTTGAAATTATCTTTAAAAGTTGGAAAGTTATAGCGCGTCAAAAATTTCGTCCAACCCTCGGACCCAACCGTCCCAGGGGCCAGACGGTCTTCGTCCTCCGGTGGACCCAACCGTCCCAGGGGCCAGACGGCCTTCATCCACCGGTGGAGCCAACCGTCCCATTGGCCAGACAGCCTTCATCCACCGGTGGACCGAATCGTCCCAGAGGCCAAACGGTCTTCGTCCACCGGTGGACCGAATTGTCCCAAGGGCCAGACGGCCTTCGTCCACCGGTGGACCCAACCGTCCCAGGGGCCAGACGGCCTTCATCCACCGGTGGACCGACTCGTCCCAGGGGCCAGACGGCCTTCATCCACTGGTGGACCGACTCATCCCAGAGGCCAAACGGTCTTCGTCCACCGGTGGACCGAATTGTCCCAAGGGCCAGACGGCCTTCGTCCACCGGTGGACCCAACCGTCCCAGGGGCCAGACGGCCTTCATCCACTGGTGGACCGACTCGTCCCAGGGGCCAGACGGCCTTCATCCACTGGTGGACCGACTCGTCCCAGGGGCCAGACCGCCTTCATCCACTGGTGGACCGGATCGTCCCGAACGTGTTAAGAACATTCAGATTTCAATTTTCATTTCATTTTAAGCTCGAATCTACATTTAAACTTTAAATCAATAACATAAAACTGTTTTAAATAAAAAAAATAGAAGAATTTATTGATCAAATCAAAAAATCAAATAAAAAATCGAATTTTAAGATAAAAGAATGCCTGGCAAAAGGGTAAAAAGTTAACATTACTAAAAAAACTGTAGAAAAGTGGGTTTTGTTATTAAATTAACTTTAAAGATAGAAAATTGAAATTATTTTTCGATCATCCATTGAATCCTTGAAACTTTCTTCGGCAAACTGTTGTATTTTCGACGTTATCATGAATGCAAGTGTTCATGAAGGGACAATCCGGATCGGATTTACATTTCTAAAACAATTTTCAAAATAAAGCTTAGAAAAACTATAAACTACAATATTTTGACAAAGGTTTTAGCTGAAAATTGGCTTTCTTCTCTCTTTCTTCTTTCTTTCTTCTCTCTTTCTTCTTTCTTTCTTCTTTCTTCTCTCTTTCTTCTCTCCTTCTTCTCTCTTGCTTCTTTCTTTCGTCTCTCTTTCTTCTTCCCCTTGTCTTCCCTCTTTCTCTTGACGAGCTAAGGTATTAGATAGCTTAGTCATTCGATCACAGGTTACAAAAGTCCAAAATCAAAAGATCAGGTTCAATTCCATCTCCGGAAATCTAATCTTTCTTACCAACTCCTTCACTTCTAGCTGGATTGATTCAAATCAAATTTGGCTAACAATAGATTATATTGGAAATCGACAAGATAACATTAAAGCCTTTATCATTAACGAATAATTATAAGAAGAATAGTTGTCCGAGAATCACAAGCTTTATTCAGTTCTGAAAGGCTAACCTTTTTTGCTGTGCAAAAGCTTTTCTTGCAGCGACAAATCACTGAATCCGTCTTGCATTTTGACAATTTCAACCCACAATCGCCGTCTGTTTCACAGTAGTTTCCAGCCTGAACTGTTTGAAAGTTTTGTAGATTTGTGCTTTGGATTGATTGATGGATTATAGGCTTAGGCTTAGGCTTAGGCTCAGGCTTAGGCTTAGGCTCAGGCTAAGGCTTAGGCTTGTCACAGCCTAAAAAAGCCGCCTAATGACGGGTTTTTCTGGGTGAATGTTTCTTGTCGCCTTGTCGAAGTCGGGAGAGCGCTTGTCTACGACCCACACATCTTGGGTTCGACCCCGTGCACTACAAGTACAAAATGCGATGATGATAGCTCAACAATCCGGTAACTAGGTCACTTTTTAGCCCAAAATCACTCGTTTTGATCGGGCGATTACGGTAGTTAGGGCACTTTTTAGACAAGAAACTTCCGGCTTCGATAACTTTTTTTCTGTCCTTCAGAATTTGAAATTTTTCTTGCTGAACGCTTATCTGGAGTGCACACAACATTTTGATGTAATCAGTTTTTAAGTTATCGTTATCACAATTTTACAGTAATGCGTACTCGTAGTGCGTAGTGTCACTCAATTTTTTAATTCTAAATCCCACAACTATATTATATTTTGTGTTTTTTAATCAATTTCAGTTATTCTGGCTCAAAGACGGCTGAGAAAAGGTTGTATAGACGGACGGAGACTGCTCTTTTATATATCCGCCGATGGTGATTGACTCACTAGAGGCTAGCCGATGGATTCTGGCTCAAAGATGGCTGAGAAAAAGGTCGTACAGACAGACGGACGGACGGACACTGCTCTTTTATATATCTCGCAGTCGCCGATGGTGATTGACTCACTAGCGGCTAACCTATGGCTTCTGGCTCAAAGACGTCTGAGAAAAGCTCGTACAGACGGACGGACACTGTTCTTTTATATATCCGTCGATGGTAATTGACTCACTAGCGGCTAGCCGATGGCTTCTGGCTCAGAAAGCCCGTAAAGACTTCTGAAAAGCCCGTAAAGACAGACAGACGGACGGACACTGCTCTTTTATATATAGTAGATAGATACTGAAGCCAATAAAGCCCAAAAACCTTACCACTGCGATCACAATTACAGCAAAGATCACCATATAGATTGCCTTCATTTTCTGAAATTTGTATCATTTTAAAACCTCATTAACAAAGAAAATTTTACAAAATAATCAATTAATTCACAACAAACTACAGAAAAAAATTGATCTTTAATAAAAATTTAGTTCCTTTGAGAGATTTTGTTTACGAGAATTTGCTGTTGATTGATCACTTTGCAAAAAAAGTGATATCGATTTGAAAATGGCAATTGAAAAAAGATTGTTTATGTTTTTGAAGGTTTAAAAATGATAAACACAAAAGTTTTCGAACACTTAAGATTTTCAATGATTGATTGTAAAGAGTTTTCTATGAAAATCGAGGATTTTCGATTTATTTGTCATGGTGGAAGGTAGAAAGGAAGGCAAAAAGCTAGTTTAATTGGTGATAATCTTTTGTTTCCAAGATAATCTTTTGTTTTTCCGAGTTCTATAAATACGAGTTCTATAAATCTAACTGAATACTCAAGAGTTTTGGCTAAAGGGCAACATTGAGTAGACTAAAGGGCAATTAGATTGGCACTTCTATCGAAATCATTGTGCTTTTCATTGTGCCAACACGATAGGGGTTGAATGTTTTATGTTTGACAAACGATTTCTTCTAAACAATTCTTCAGCAAAACTCAAGTTTATCGGATTTTCTTCAAAACAGTGTTTTTCTTCACCTAAAAGCCTTCTGGCACTGAGTTTAACCCAAGCAAACGAAGAAAAGAAAAGTTGGAAAAGGTTTTTCGCTAAGTTTTAGGCTGTTTTTTTAAAGTTTGGCTAAGTTTTTTTTCGCTAAGTTTCGCTCGCTAAGTTTTTTTAAAGTTTGGCTTGAAAAGCTTCTAACTTTTTCAAGGTTTTATTTAAAAATCTCGGTTAAAAACTTCTTAGGCAATGAGTTTGTTTGTAGTAAAAGTTTGTTCGGCTTTTCTGCAATGAATCGAAAAGTTTTCACAAGGGAATGTCAACTGGGTGTGGTAGCCAAATTATGGGTTATTTGAATTCAACGCCGAATCCAACGCCGAATTCAACGCCGAATCCGACGCTGAATTCAACGCCGAATCCAACGCCGAATTCAACGCCGAATTCAACGCCGAATTCAACACCGAATTCAACACCGAATTCAACGCCGAATCCAACGCCGAATTCAACGCCGAATTCAACGCCGAATCCGACGCCGAATCCAACGCCGAATTCAACGCCGAATCCAACGCCGAATTCAACGCCGAATTCAACGCCGAATCCAACGCCGAATCCAACGCCGAATTCAACGCCGAATCCAACGCCGAATTCAACGCCGAATCCGACGCTGAATTCAACACCGATTCTTGCTGCATATGAGCGTGGTTTTTTACCGATTCCTGATACCGATGCATAGACAAATCAAAATCATAGTTTAATATAAACTTGTCTTTGAAATGGAGAACAATTAACTTTCTAAAAACAAGAAAGCAAAGGAAGGAGGCAAAATGTCGGACTCGAACTCGAGACTCTTCGCCTCGTATTCTAACCGACTGCCATTTCTAACCCGCCTTGTATTCTTACCCACTTCCAATCAGCCACCACCGCCTACCGAGGTCTCTGATAAATCTGCTTATAAACGCGGGGCGTGAATGTGAATCCGATACAAAACTTTGAACGCTTATAACTTTTGACAGAGTGCTCCATAGCAGAAACGAAAAGCAGACTCGGAATCAGCGTAAAATTCTGCATGGAATGGCACATATTATTTGGCTCTTATCACCTCAAAAGACTCAAAATTTTACTGAATTTATAAATAAATTAAAAGAAGGTAAAAGTTCTAAAGTTTTTGAATGATTTGCTGTACAGTAACTCTATAAATCTCGTTCTTTATCAGTAAACAAAGTTTTCAATAAAAACAATGACGTCAACTTTGTCATGAACTTTGTTCTTTCGGGCGTTTAATAAAAGAACTCTGTTTTACTAGTTTTCTGCTAGTTTTCTACTAGTTTTCTACTAGTTTTGAGTTAAGCTAAAGAATTATAAGATTTATTAAAATGTAGATATGTTTATTGTCTTCAAATCTCAGATCAGTGATGATTTTTCGACACATCGATGGCACACATATCGGGCATAAGGCGGCCATCCGGCGATGGTGGACCGATCTCACAGTTACCAAGCATTTTTGCATCTAAAAAATCGAGTTCTATATCACAAATGAGTTTAAAAAGCTGTGCTTGAAAAGCTTAAAAAGTTTTAAGCAAAAAGCAAAACTCAAAATCCATTAGCTAACCCATTTTGATCCTGAAAAGCAGTCAACTTGTCAGTCAACTTTTCAGGAGAGTAAAAAAAGTAGCTACAGTACTGGACAATGAACTTTTTCTCCTACCTATCTCTTGTTTTGGTCTCTTGAAACTGATTCTTTTTTAGATTAATAAAAAAGTCCTTACTTGGCAGATACAGTACTGGACAATGAAATATGATATTTGAAAAAAACCCTTTCGCACCTTCGCGCGTCTGTAACTCCCTTGTCTTTGAGTTTAAACTATTAGTGTTATACACTTTCTGAAAGCTTTTTTCAAGGGCTACACAATGGTAATATTAATATTTAGAAATACGGTAAAGACAAGGGAGTTACAGAGGCGCGAAAGTGACGATCTTTTTTCAAAGATGATATTCCAGTAGCTAACTTTTCAAAAAGCTTTTGCTGATTGCTACTTTCACTTACCAAGCGAAATCCATAAGAATAAAAGAACAAAAACAAATCGCAACAAGGAAATCATTTTTGAGCAACTAGTTTTCTGAGCAACTTGTTGAAAAACGTTTTATAGGATCTGTTGGCTTTTTATGAGTATTTGAAATGGTGACAGAGCCAGAACAGCGATAAAACATTGATTTTCGGTGATATAATGATAAAAAAAAGTGTATGATGACGAATTTCAATACTAAATTGTGAAAAATAGATTAACGAAACAGATTGTGATAAACTGCTCACTGTTAGAAAGCTAAAAAAGTCTGTTAGCTGTCAAGATCAAGAAGTAGATCAAGATCAAGAGCATGAAGAAGATCAAGATCAAGAGCATGAAGAAGATCAAGATCAAGATCATGAAGAAGATCAAGAAGAAGATCAAGAAGTAGATCAAGATCAAGAGCATGAAGAAGATCAAGATCAAGATCATGAAGAAGATCAAGAAGAAGATCAAGATCAAGAGCATGAAGAAGATCAAGATCAAGAGCATGAAGAAGATCAAGATCAAGATCATGAAGAAGATCAAGAAGAAGATCAAGATCAAGAGCATGAAGAAGATCAAGATCAAGAGCATGAAGAAGATCAAGATCAAGATCATGAAGAAGATCAAGAAGAAGATCAAGAGCATGAAGAAGATCAAGATCAAGAGCATGAAGAAGATCAAGATCAAGATCATGAAGAAGATCAAGAAGAAGATCAAGATCAAGAGCATGAAGAAGATCAAGATCAAGAGCATGAAGAAGATCAAGATCAAGATCAAGAAGTAGATCAAGATCAAGAGCATGAAGAAGATCAAGATCAAGATCATGAAGAAGATCAAGAAGAAGATCAAGATCAAGAGCATGAAGAAGATCAAGATCAAGAGCATGAAGAAGATCAAGATCAAGATCATGAAGAAGATCAAGAAGAAGATCAAGATCAAGAGCATGAAGAAGATCAAGATCAAGAGCATGAAGAAGATCAAGATCAAGATCATGAAGAAGATCAAGAAGAAGATCAAGAGCATGAGAAGATCAAGATCAAGAGCATGAAGAAGATCAAGATCAAGATCATGAAGAAGATCAAGAAGAAGATCAAGATCAAGAGCATGAAGAAGATCAAGATCAAGAGCATGAAGAAGATCAAGATCAAGATCAAGAAGTAGATCAAGATCAAGAGCATGAAGAAGATCAAGATCAAGATCATGAAGAAGATCAAGAAGAAGATCAAGATCAAGAGCATGAAGAAGATCAAGATCAAGAGCATGAAGAAGATCAAGATCAAGATCATGAAGAAGATCAAGAAGAAGATCAAGATCAAGAGCATGAAGAAGATCAAGATCAAGAGCATGAAGAAGATCAAGATCAAGATCATGAAGAAGATCAAGAAGAAGATCAAGAGCATGAAGAAGATCAAGATCAAGAGCATGAAGAAGATCAAGATCAAGATCATGAAGAAGATCAAGAAGAAGATCAAGATCAAGAGCATGAAGAAGATCAAGAGCAAGATCAAGATCAAGAAGAAGATCAAGATCAAGATCAAGAAGATCATGGCTTTCCTTCAACTTTCATCGTGAACTGAAGAATCTTCGAATTATTCCACCGGATTCTCATTTTCTTCAAGAATATTTTCACATATTCCAACAGCATTTGTCGGTAAATAGTCGATGAAAAGATGACAATGAGGCTATTGAGTGATGAATGAGTGCTCATCCATATTGGAGTTGTCCCAGCAACTGAAAAAAGTGATGTCACTGAGCAATTGACTGAGCAATGATGAGCAATGATGAGCAATTGACTGAGCAATTGATTGAGCAATTGATTGAAAACAATCTTAATCATCTATTACTTCTTTATTCATTTTGTTCTGGTGAAAATGAACTTTTTTCTATTAGCTTCTGTCAGCAAGTGGTTCTTTGAGCGGAAAACAGATATCCCTAAAATAGTAATATTATTTCCAGAATAGGTAAAAGATATCCAATCAAGGACTTATAAGGGAGCATCAGACCAAAATTATCATAACTACGAAATTTGCAATTTGCCATTTGCATACCTGCATTTCTCTGGATCCATTCAATCCACCACCAACCGAACCTATGCTGGTTTGTTCAATGAAAGCTCGAAGCCATACCATATTCTCCAAGTTAGCATATCTCCTATCAATTTTGAAGCCTTGAACAAATTCTAAGAAAAAGAAGTTTACCCTTTTATGCAAAAGTAGCTTGAAAAATTCTATTTAAAGTGACAAAAATCAAAAAAAATCGAAAATCTAAGAATATCATCTTAAAGCTCTCACAAAATACTACAAAAAACTAATTGGAATCGATTTATTTGAATCCGATCTAACGGGAGAAAAATGAGAAAACATTGGCCGGCTAAGACTTTTTTGATGACTGTACAGAGTGAGCCATAATTGTCACAACAAAGTATCACGCGCGGTAACAAGGTAACTAATAGCATTTGTACATGTCGTTACTTTTTGTACTTGTAGTGCAAGGTCAGAGACTTCTGCGGGGCGGCTCACAAGGAAATGAGTGAAATGGAAATGAAAAATGAGATCTAGACCATCGGATGCAAAATTTTTCGCTGATTTCGATGCTATATTTAGTTTTTGCGAGGAATCTGGAGAAAACGTTTTTAGCATATCTTCTAAAGACTAAGGTAGAAAGAGTCTAAAGACTAGTCTAGACTAGTCTAGACTAGTCTAGACTAGTCTAGACTTCTAAAGACTTTTGTAAGATAAGAAAGAACTATAATTTCTATTTTCTCTTGATCGATTTGAAATGATTCGAGATTTGAAAATGGAATTGTATTTTAAAGGTGAGAAATTACAGATTTAGCTAGTAAGCTTTTAATTGTTTGTTTTGTTTTATTATTGTTTGTCTTTTGAAGTTGTTTTTGGGAGAAATCGAAGCGTTTATGAAAATACTTTAAAAAAAGACAATCAATGGAATGTCTGATAAGAGAAAAGTACAAAAGAAGTTAAACAAAAAGAGAAAAATTGAGCAAATCGTTTAGAAATCTATTTTGTGATTATTTACAATGTATTTAATAACCGAGAGCATCTTGACGGTCACGAGATGCCTCAACGGTGAGAGTTCCGTCTGAGCCAATATTTGCATTCACATTGTCCATATGAGTGCCACGAGGAAAATGGTATTCCTGAAATTGTTAAATTTTCTAATCTTTAAGACTTTCTTATTGTTAGGCCTGGATCAACTCTTCAAATTTTAGATCTACCTACCGTAAATACTGTAATAGTACCCCACCCTCATAATAACGGTGCGGAGTGTTGCGTAGCTCTAGCTTTGAACGAGTTCTTCTCGACACTGGTTTATGCTACAATGCTCGCTTAGGTATCAAAAAATAGCTGAAATTCAGGGCTATTTTTTGATACCAAAGACGCATTTTTTGAAAGTACGGGCGCTTTGAAAAAAATGAAAGACTAAAAAACCTTTGCGACTACGCGACTGTACGAGGGGGATGGGGTACTATTACAGCATTTACGGTAGATCGTTTGCTATAAAGATACGAGAGTGAAGCTAAAAGATACAAAAAGACTGGACTCGTTAAGCTTATTGAGTCCGGCGAAAGATTGATCGAAATCTAAACAATGGTAAAACAGAACTTAGCCATGTTTAGTATCAAAATGAAGCTTAGAATAAGAGCTTGCGGGGGAACTGAGTTTCATGCTCGAAGGAGCTGTTGGTAGTAAAAAAATCGAAGAGCTAGGCAGACTGTCTGAAAATTTTGCCCGGATTCGTTAGGCTCATCGAGTCTGGCGAAAGATTGAAAGTTACCGTAGACTTATCTTTAGTGTTATCTCTTCCGTAAATACTGTAATAGTACCCCACCCTCATAATAACGGTGCGGAGTGTTGCGTAGCTCTAGCTTTGAACGAGTTCTTCTCGACACTGGTTTATGCTACAATGCTCGCTTAGGTATCAAAAAATAGCTGAAATTCAGGGCTATTTTTTGATACCAAAGACGCATTTTTTGAAAGTACGGGTGCTTTGAAAAAAATGAAAGACTAAAAAACCTTTGCGACTACGCGACTGTACGAGGGGGATGGGGTACTATTACAGTATTTACAGTATTTTTATTTAAGAAAGATTCTTATTAAACCAATCAAATTAAAAGACAAAAGATCTATCATCGCCAGAACAAAAGAAAGTCGAATTTTTCGGTTTTAGTAGTACAAAGTAGACTTAGGAATTTTCGGTGTGAACGTCAATGGGCGCGCAACGGAAAAATGGTATACCTTGGCCAATTTCACTCGAATCTTTTTGATTTTGATATCAATTGACGCAGAATTTAATTTTCTATCGATTGAAATCAAAAACAAAAAGATTTAAGTGAAATTGGTCAAGATATGATATTTTTTTTGTTAGAAACTATTGATTGACAGCAATTGACACCAAAAATTCCTAGATCTAGTACAAACCTGTTTCGATTCACGATAGATGTAGTGGTTCGGATCGTTTTCCTCGTGTTTGGCGTTGATGCGAAGGTGATTGTCGTGGGCGTGAACGGTGACCTCTTCGGGCTTATAGTTGCTCATGTCAAAGCTGAAAGTACAAGTAAAAGACGGATTCTTGAAGTAAAAGGCGGATTCTTGAAGGAAAAGATGATTTTTCGGATTTTATAGCTTATTGTTAGCGCTGTAAATCTGAAATTGGCTTTGCTTAAGTTCTCAAAAAGAAACTTAATGTTTTAGGCAGAGAACGGGTTTACTGTAATCTTAATATTACTGGTTTACTGTAATACCGTACTGCTTGTAAAAGAATGTAGCTTATTAAGAGTCTTACGATAAGTACTTACTCATTTACTAGAGAACTGCTCTTTTGTGGTCACTGAAAATTACTTTCAGCCATTTCCAAGAGTCTTATTTAGCTTCTTTCTGCTTATAGGCACTTTAAAACACCTAAAAATTGGTTTTAGTGCTTTGAGTGTTTTAGCAAAAATGTTTGACAGTGAGGGGATTCGAACCAGGGACAAGAAACGCCTCAAGGTCGACCACACTATCCACTACACTACACTTTTTGGCAAGTAATTCAGCCCATACCGTGGCGGCTGCAAAAAGTGCCCAAACTTGAAAAATATGTCTTTTGAAAAATGTATGCTATGGAGAACTGAAAAACACGTATCTCTTAGAATTTCAAGGTGGCGTTTTTGCATTGGGTTCCATGTCCAAAATCGATGCTAAGTTGGAGCAGTTCCCTAGTTAAACCAAATGTATTGCCTAGATACTTAGGTATACCCATAGGTATATGGCCACTTAGGCTGTAGAATGGGGAAATGGGTGTAGAAAAATGGGTAGAATGGGTAATCTATATTGCCTAGATTACCCATTCTACCCATTTTTTTTTAAACTTTTGAGCCTACTCACCGAAGCTTGACATTACGGCCATCATCCTCTTCACGGGTCATCGAAGAATCGTTGCGCTTGCTCAGCATTTTCAGTGAGTTTTCTGAAAGTTTGAATGACTTTGAAGAAAAATTCGCATTCAAGAGGAAAAAGACTGAAGAACATGAATCATTTAGGACAATTTTTAAAGCAAAACTTAGAGACTCTAAGGGAGAAAATGGAAATGCTGTAAAAATATGTTAAATAAAATGCAAAAGATGCAAATAAAATATGAGCCAAAGCAAATTCAGAAACTTTCTTACAAAGTGTTTGATTTTTTTCAAGAAAAGGCAAGATAAAATTCAAGAAATTCAAGCTGTTTTTGCTCCAAATCAGGGAGAAAATGGAATTGCTGCAAAAAAAGATGCAAAGATGTCAGGCCTTTATATAGCCTGGTCATAGCTTTCCAGAAAATTCTCGTCAATATGTTTTTTTGGTTATTTAAATTTCCCCCAAGGGTCAGCCTCCTTGTTTACGAGAGAAATCGTAATGAAAATAGAGAAAATGCTCGTTTTGTGGTGGTAAACAAGAGGAATCTGGATGGAGAAAGTGCAGTGCACTTTCCAGAAGAAGATGATGGCTTTTTCTCGACTGAACTTTGACAAAATTCTTATGAAATCAAAAATTTTGCGCCCAAAGTCTAGAATTTCGAGATGTTTACAGCTTTTTGTTAAAATTGTGATCTTAAAGTTAACAAAATTGGGGAGTGGGACAAATGCGACCTTTTTTGCGCACTCGAACATTTGCGCGCCTTTTCTTCCGCACTTGCCCATTAGCGCACCTTTCGCATTTTAAAAAAGCTCTAAAAAGCTAATATTAACCAATTTCTATTTCAAAAGTTGTTTTTCTAGGTAATTTTAGGGCCTAGAATCGAAATTTTGACATATCAGAGCGTGTGGAACCAATTTGAAAGACAAAACGGCTAGATAAAATTACAGAAAATCGTCGATTTTTCTCTTTGTATAACTCCGTCCGTTCGCTTCCACAAGCTCTGATAAATTTCGAAATTTCGATTCTACACCCTAAAATTACCTAGAAAAACAACATTTGGAATAGAAATTGGTTAGTATTAGCTTTTTAGAGCTTTTTTAAAACGCGAAAAAAGGTGCGCTAATGGGCAAGGTGCGGAAAAAAAGGTGCGCAAATGTCCGGGTGCGCAAAAAAAGGTAGCATTTGTCCCACTCCCTAATTTTAAAGTTAACAAACGTGCACAAGAAAAGCAATCGTTTTAAAGCTTTTCAAATAAACGTACGACATTCAAACAATAAGCTCAATATTTTTAAATTCTAGGAACTGGTTTTAAAGTAAAATTTCTTCTGAAATTATCATTCTTTCAAATTGTTGGGGGTGGCTACTTTGCGCCAAATTATTTTGCTCAACCCGCCATAACTTTCTTCAAAGTGAGCAAATCTTTATGATTTTGGTGTCGGGCACTATCCTAGTTGGGGGAGCATTTTTTTCTTCAAAACCACTTTTTCTGGGGTAGTTTTAGGCGTAGATGCCGAAAAACACAGCGAGAGCTTGGGGAAAATCGTTTTAAGCCGACTTTCGGGGTTTCAAAGTGCGCTTAGAGTGTGATCAGAGGGCTACACATAAGGAAGAGGTCTGTTGGTTGTTGGTTTCATTTTGTTGCACTTGTTGAGATCTACAAAATGACACCAAAATCATAAAGATTAGCTTACTTAGAAGAAAGTTATGGCGAGTGGCGCAAAAAATTAGGCGCAAACCTGTTTTGTTGTTTTTATCGGTTTTTGGGTCATTTCGTATTCAATTTTCTTCAATCTTTTTTTTGTTAATCAATCAATTTTCCAACAATTACAAGTTTTTCTGGTTCTTTTCCAATATCGGGGGAGCGAAAGGAAAATCGGGGGAGCAAATTTTGCCCCCTCGAAAAATGCATTTCTGGGACTTTTATTTTAACTGCAACGTTTTTTTTAATTTTTTTGGCAGCGCTACATATGTCCTATATTATCCAAAGTACTGCCATAAAATCCGCGAATTACCCGTTATTCTCACAACCTTTATATTAGATCACAAAAGTGACTTAAATATCTAACACCAAACATACCTCTACCTTCCCTATCGGCCGCCTTCTCTTTTTGCCGAACGCTCCTCTTGAATGCTTGGGGACATTTCGCCGTGCGCAAGTGTCACATACCCAGCGAAATAGATCTTTTCCCTTTGAGCGGACTTTCATCGATTCGCCACAGTTGCAAATCCACGACTGGATGACTCCTTTGGTGACGAAATAATCGATTGCCGTCGATTCCTTGAACGCACAAATATCGGAGAAGCGCATCGTCGTTAAAGTTTAAAAAAAACGTTGCAGTTAAAATAAAAGTCCCAGAAATGCATTTTTCGAGGGGGCAAAATTTGCTCCCCCGATTTTCCTTTCGCTCCCCCGATTTTCTTTCCGCTCCCCCGATAATCGGACCGCTCCCCCGATATTGGAAAAGAACCGTTTTTCTTTAGGTGCAAAGCGCCTGGTGAGCAATTTTTGCTGGTTGATGCTGCAGAAAGCTGGTGAGTTTTATTAATTTTGAAGCGAATTGCCCTTGGCGCTCATCTCGTGCTATAATTGGCCAGATCTGTCATGTAAAATAATTGTTTTATTTTAATTCAAGCATTTAAAACTTTCATTCTTACTTAAATTGCTTCAAAAGTTTAAACTTATTAGCCTATTAGCAGTAGCTTATTAGCCACAAAAAGTGTAAATCTTTGTACCGTCATTTTACTTATTTTTCTTTTTTAGTTCTTGACTCGGACTGGAAAACGATGAACGACTGCCCCACCAACAGCAAGAAATGCCGATCTGAAGAGCCACTTTTCAAAGTGAGTAGATTTTATGGTTAGAAAGTAAAAAGCGACTTAAGACGAATGAAAATTTGGTTAAATAGGCGAATAAGGGTTTGGCTCTAAACCTATTTCTTTGGGTTTATTCTAGTTTCAGTAACCGTATAGAGCACAAGTAAAACAAATTTAAGCGCCGGAACCATGTTTTTTGGGAGGAAAACTGCAGAGCTTTAAAACGTTTACGTTTACACGTCTTAAACCCTATCTTTCAGTTTTTCTTTTCTTTTTTGTTGATTTTATACCGATTTTACTACCTTGTAATTAATTTTTTTCATCTAGGAAGACGGTTATTAGCGGGTTGTTTGATGTTTTGCCAACTACGGCAGCGCCGTAGGTGACGCCCGTGCTAGCCCGTGATGCGCGGCCGGGTAGTGACCTGTGTCGCACTGTGTTTTTTTAAATAGACTGGAAACCACGCGACGCGCAGAGAACGCGAAAAAATATTACTCGATTGAGCTAGGCCGCTTTGTCCAACACAAAAAAATATCAGATCTAAAATTTTTGTGTAAGACGAAGAAAACGTTGTAAAGCTTTGCAGTTTTTTTTTTGCTGAAAATCATGGTTCCTGTGCTTAAATTTGTTTTATTTGTGCTCTATACGGTTACTGGAACTAAAAATAACCCGAAGAAATAGGTTTCGAGCCAAACGCCTATTATTCGCCTATTCCAAAAATTGGTCAAATTTGGCTATTGCATCATGCTGACTCTCCATTTTGATACCCGATTCAGTTTAAGTTGGGTTTATGCTGAATTCAGCGATTGGAAAAGCGATGATTTTAAATACTATTTGATAGCGGTTCGCTTGCAGATACATTTTATATTTTTAGTTAACATCACGTGATGGTTCGCTCTTCTACGTCTCGGCCAAGGCCGCAAAATTGAGTGGATTGATTCGGCGTTTTGTTGAGGTAACTCTTTCAAACCAAATATATTCCGATTTAAGTACCAAAGGATATGCTTACTTTGGAAAGGCGCCGTTTAAAGCATTTAAACCAATCAAATCTTGATATTAAATTAATTTTTGTTATGATACACTTGTTTTATCGTAAAATGTTCTCATTTTAGATCTATGACTTGAACGACGAGCAAGCAATCTTCATGATGGAGCCAATTCATTTGCCAAATGTTAACTACAGAGTGCTTACCATGGTTTACTAAAATTTACTTCTTTACCTAATTTTATTTTAGATCATTCACTGGACAGAAAGCCACAAAAATTGCCCCAAATGGATCGAAGAAAAATGGTTTGTTGTTCAGTTTTAAATGATAATTTTACTTTTTAAGGTGGTTGAACAAGAAGAAGCCACTATTGAACTCGTGGGAAAGTGGATTTTTCAAGGAAATGCCAAATGATTTCTTGTACAAGCTTTTTGTGGTAAGCTTTGAGATTTTGAATAGGTAAAACCTGTAAATTCACTTCTTTGAAGCAAAATATTAGATTGACAACTTAAAAGTTGGTACACTTTTTCGTATTTTCCATAAAGCATTCATAAAAAATAACAAAAACGATTGATTAGATCTTGCTGAAAATTTGGCTATTTATCTAACTCGTTATGCTCTCTCTTTTTTCTATTAACATTAAAATAGGTTTATGTGGAAGAAAGTGCTCAAATCGCTTCATCGAGTGTTCATCATTTTTGGGTCCTCAACTTCTTGTCCCCTAGTAACCTACAAAGCCAAAGCTTGTCTAACTCTGTTAAAAGCCTGTTTTAGAGAATAAATGCGCCTTTTTATTAGTGAAAACTGTAGATTAATTGGTGCACGTTATTTCTAAAAAGTGCAATGAATAAGTGTAGCAACTTCCAAGTTGCCAATCTAATAAGTCTTCTGTGGCTAAGAAAGTTATGAAGTCGTTTCTGTATCTTGATTTTTATTCTACAAAAGCTTTTAGGCTGCCGATTATATGGACGTGAAATGTTTATTGGACGCCTGTGCTGAAAAGATTGCTGATCAAGGACGGGTGAGCTTTTAAATTAAAGATCACTAGGAGTATCATTGAGGATAAATCAGTGGTTATACAGCTATAGTAGTACAGCAGTTACTATTTGGCTTCAAGCATCTGTAGATAATTTAAAAGTAGCTGGTACCATTATCATATTTTATATTCAGGGCAAAAACGAGGAGGAGATGCGCCAAGTATGGGGACTCCCGAACGATCTTGGGCCTGACTATGGGTTTAAACGGTTGGTTTCTGTTATCAAATTTTGAAAATTTGCAGAACGGCTACTTATTAATCAAACCAAGATTTGTTTATCGATTTATCAAGTCAAGTCAAGATTTATCAATTTAAGCTATTTCACATCTTATTTTCCATTTCCAGAGAGACCACTTTCTGGGAGGACATCTTACAAGGACAAGAGCACCGTGCCCGAGTGAAGAACGAGCAAAACTGCGTCAAAGCGAAGCAAAAAGCTCACCAAGTAAACTTTAAATTTTAAATATTTTTGAATTTTACAATTTCATGCAAATTACTTTGTTAAAATCTAATTCCAGTAATTATTATTTACTAATATTGTTAGCTTATTCTGTGATCTTTAGGTACTTGTAGAAATTTTTATTTTTTATGTTGTCATGTTATGCAATGAAGTTGTTTATGGAATTCTAATGAGCCGATTCAAAAGAGTATGTACGGAGACTAGAGATATGTACAGATTCAAGCTATTGTATGCAAATTTTGTAGTCAAACAAATTTTTTATGCGGTATCCACAGAGTTTACGGTAAGTCTATATAGAAAAGTTGGTAAACTATTGGTGATTGGGTTTATGGATTACGAGCTAAACTGCTACAAAAGGGATTACGGCAATCTGGACACATTTTAGGAAATCTCTTTGCAAGAAAAACGTTACTTTTAAGAATTAAGTTGAAATGAGTTATGTGAGAGTTTTCTTCTCAAATAATTCGTTCTCTTAAACGTATGAAGTTCCTGGATTACCGTAATCCTGTTCCTAGCTACAAAACTAAAAGGGTGACGGTGATTTTCGAAAGTTGACACGTTTTAGGCGTTTTCCGCCTTTGCTTTTGCTCTTTGCAATTAATTTCCCTGTGCTAATTGAAAGTCAACAAGTCAAAAGATCAAAAATTACCAAGTTAATCAGCTTGTCAATCATTTAAAAATTCGAACTTATTCTTTCAGCTTTTGAAAATTTATTTCCTTTACTTCACTAATTAGCTATGAGTCAGAAAGCGCTCGTTTCTCTTTCGATTCTGAGAGTGAGCAAAAACACGTTGCTTTGTCCACGTGGACTTCCCGCTTTTCGGCGATTTTTGAGAAGAAACTGACCTAAAAAACAGCAAAGTTGAATTTTTCAACTTATCTTCGAAAAAACTTATAACTTTTATTCTACGAACTACTGAAATCTATATATTTTCAAGGCAACTAAACGATTGAACTCAAAATCCCTTGAAAATCCTCTCAAAAATCCATTCAACTACGAGATTTTTTCAATATTTCAATTGAAAAATTCTATTTTTATTCAAAATTTGATAAAAAAACAATGCACGATAAATGGCCGGTTTTCACCCTTTTGATGATGTAAGTTTGTTTATTTTAATGCAGAAAAATTTTATGAAAATGAATTGTTAGCTTACATAAAAGTTTTGTTTTTGTTTTTTTTTTAAGGCTGATTCAATGAGGCAAAGAATTTCCGTCATCTATTTGGTTCTGTTTATCTTTTTGAGGCAAAAAAAAGTTATCAGAAACTGTTTTCAAGCGAACATTTCAAAGAACATTTCTACAGTTCCGAAAAAAAAAATTTGAGGATTATAACAAGCTTTGAGTTTATTTGAAGTGATAAAAAGTTTAAAAGAAGAAACCAAATTGTCAAAACTAGCTCGAAAATCGGAAATTTGATTGAACTGGATTTTTGCTTAGGGGCTTTTTGATGAAATTTATGCCTAATATATATTGGGTTGGTGGAAAAGTCCTTTCGGGTTTTTTGGGAGAGTACCTTTGAATTTGTCGAATTTTGACGTTTTATAGCCCATCCTAAAGCTGAATTCAAGACGGATCGATTGGTAAAAACCGTTTTGAGATATCTCTTTTCTAAAAGTTTTTACAGCTATTTTAGTAAAGGGCGGCAGAGCCAAAAAGCCAAAAATGGCTGTTTTCACGTTTCGTTAGTTTTCCGTGCAGAAACCTAGGCTAAAAACATGTGTTTCGTGATCAGCGTCAAAAATAACCCCTAGACACGCATTTTCAGAATCTTAGCAAAAAATTTTTGAAAAATATTGTCGCCGGTGGAGGTCGAACCAGCGACCCTCAGATCAATAGCCTTTCCGCCGCTTTTCGCGATTTTCCTTCGTTTTTCTCGTTTTTTTTGCTAAGATTCTGAAAATGCGTGTCTAGGGGTTATTTTTGACGCCGATCACGAAACACATGTTTTTAGCCTAGGTTTCTGCACGGAAAACTAACGAAACGTGAAAACAGCCATTTTTTGGCTCTGCCGCCCTTTACTAAAATAGCTGTAAAAACTTTTAGAAAAGAGATATCTCAAAACGGTTTTTACCAATCGATCCGTCTTGAATTCAGCTTTAGGATGAGCTACATAAAACGTCAAAATTGGACAAATTTAAGGTAATCTCCCAAAAAATCCGAGAGGACTTTTCCACCAACCCAATATATAGATACTTTATTTGTAGATAAAGGAAACCATATTTGTAGATAAAAGGAACCATATTTGTATAGAAATGAAACGAAATGGAAACAAAGTTTAAGCACTGTTTGTGTTTTTATAGATACTTTATTCAGGGTCTGAGAAAAAGTGCGCTAGATTTGAGATTAAAACACATGAATTCATACACATAACACGAAAAGGGCCGATAAAAAGCAACACGATATAATCTATGTAAGATATGGGTAGCACAGATAACGTCAAGGATTCACTAGAGCTTCAAGATCAAGGCCAAGATCAAGATCAAGATCATCTACCGAAAATTTAAAGGTTTCGAGACTATTGGACTATTGGATTCCCTCAAAACTCTGGGAAGTCGATTCCAAATTCTGGCTTTTCTTATTGGAATTCTTATTGGAAAAGATTTATACACAAACCTATGCTAAAAGTGTTAAATTCGTGCTCAGCTGTTTGCTAACGTTTGCTGTTTGCTAAAATCACAGATAACGATCGTCAAGAATCCACAGAGTAGTACAGATAACGTCAAGGATCCACTTGAGCTTCAAGATCAAGGCCAAGATCAAGATCAAGATCATCTACAGATAATCTACAGACTATTGGACTCTCTCAAAATTCTGGAGAATCGATTCCAAATTCTACTTTTCTTATTGGAATGCTTGCTTCAAGAATTCTTATTGGAAAAGAGTTATAAACAAACTTATTGGAGGTGACTGGAATTTCTAAAACGAAAGAACCTCTCCGTGAACTAACCGTGGGATTAAACTAACTAATAATCAAATTTTACTTGTAACTGATGCAATTTGAAAGTTTCAACGCTTATTTCAGTCTTAATTTGATCTCACTATCAGCTAGGAAACTCGAGCTCGAGCCTTTATTGTCTGCATTTTCAAAGAACACTAGCGAGCTCAAAGATCACCTCAAAACCGTGTGCTTATCAATCTTAATTTGATCTCACTATTAACTAGGAAACTCGAGCTCCGGCCTTCATTGTCTACATCTTTAAAGAATACTAGCTGGCTCAAAGATCACCTCAAAACCATCTGCTTATCTATCTTCGTTTGATCTCACTATCAAATAGGAAACTCGAGCTCCGGCCTTCATTGTCTACATCTTTAAAGAACACTAGCTGGCTCAAAGATCACCTCAAAACCATCTGCTTATCAATCTTAATTTGATCTCACTATCAACTAGGAAACTCGAGCTCTAGCCTTTATTGTCTACATTTTCAAAGAACACTAGCTGGCTCCAAGATCACTCCAAGAGCCTCCAAACCATGTGCTTATCACATTTTCAGTTCTTTTTTTCTCCAAACAACTAGTCAACTTTTCGCTTTTCTTTAGTTTCTTAGTTTCTCAGTTCTCCTTTTTGTCGGCACATCAGCTGAAGCTGATGCAATGTCGGGGTGAAACGAGTGAGACATTTGGCTCTCTCCCACGACTCAAAGGGGGAAAACCCCGCCCCTTCCCGTATGATTCTCCCAAAAAAAACCCACAAACAAAAATATATATATTTAGACTGAAGAATTGAGTCTATTTAAATCCACAGTTTACATTTTTCAAATCAAATTCCGAAATGAATTTGAGATTTAGATCTTTTCTTGATTTTATCAGATAATTTTAGCTCTTTTCTTTGAATTCCATAGAGCTTCGAACTCATTTTTTAATGAAATTCAATTCTAAACTAGATTTTGAATGGTTACCAATTTATAGCTGACTATAGGCTTAAAAGATCCTTTACTGCTTGTTTTACTGCTTTACTTGCTTTACTTGCTTCACTGCTTTACTTCCTTTACTGCTTTACTTGCTTTAATGAGCTGATTGCTTTACAATGAATGTTTCCTTTAAAAATTGAAGGAAACTTTGATTTGAATTGACTTTAAATTAAAGCTTTAACTCAAAATTTAACTCAAAATTTCTCCTCAAACTTTTCTGAATATCAAAGCCCATTTCACTTAATTTTCTAAAGTTTTCTAAAGTTTCCCAATCGATTCACCTTTCTTATAGATGTTATTCAGATTATCGCGCGCTATGCTTACGCAAAACGAGATTGAGTCATCATTGTGGGTGTTCGGATATGGATCACTGATATGGAATCCGGGTTTCCTTTTTGAAGAGAAACGACGGGGATATGCGTTGGGTTTTGCGAGAAGAATGTATCAAGGAAATACGTATCATCGTGGAGATGATTTGTTGGTGAGTTGAGAATGGGAATTAAGAATGGGAGTTAAGAATAGGAGTTAAGAATGGGATTAAGAATAAACGTTAAGAATAGGAGTTCGAGAATAGGAGTTCGAGAATGGGAGTTAAGAATGGGAGCTAAGAATGGGAGTTAAGAATGAGAGTTAAGAATAGGAGTTCGAGAATGGGAGCTAAGAATGGGAGCTAAGAATGGGATTAAGAATGGGAGTTAAGAATGGAAGCTAAGAATGGGAGTTAAGAATGGGAATTAAGAATGGAATTTAAGAATTAAAATAGCTTAAAGGTAGTAATCTAAAGCTCTATAATGTTCCGTTGAAACCATTATGGAAAACTTGGCCTCCTTGCTCATTATGGAAAACTTGGCCTATCTTAACAATTTTTATTAGTCAAAGCCAAAGCCAGGTCTGATCTGACCAGACCTGGCACAAAACTGGATTGACAATCTATATTGTCGATCCAGTTTTGTGTAGATGTGTTGATCCAGAGCCTAAGCCTAAGCCTAAGCCTAAGCCAAAGCCTAATCTAAAGCTTTATAAGGTTCAGTAGTAATCTGAAGCTCAGAAATAGGAATTTGAATGTGATTTTTGATGAAAGTATTATAAAATGAATGTTTTGGTCTTATTATATTCTAAAAATTGATCAAATTGTTAACTTTTTGGAATTAAACAACTCGAAACTCTTGACTAAGCCTTGAATCGACTTAAAAACTTGAAATTTGATCCCTTAGCTTAAAGCTGTTAAACTTAAAAGCAAAGTTTAACAGCTTACAATCAATTGTAGGCTTACAATTCTAGCTAGTAGCACTACGGAAACAGATCTTTTAAGTAAACAAATCAATATACAACTTTAATAAAGCTAATTTCTGGTTTTTTTGAAGCTCTACATCTAGTTTGATTTAGAATTCGTTTTTTTGAAACATATGGCTTTCAAATTTTCATTCTCTCCTTTCCTCACTCGTTATTTAATTAAACCGAACGCTTTTTTTCGTATAGTAGTCGTTTTTTCCAGCCTGGCATTATGGGTTTTGTTGTGCTGAGGGTTTTCCCGAAGCCACGAGGTTTTCCTTTTCCTTTTCTGGCCTGGGTCCTCCCCTTCTCTGTCCTCCCCTTCTCTGTCCTCCTCTTCATCCTTTTCATCCTCAATTCTCATCCAAATCCTTGCCCATTTGGCTGTCTTATTCCCCAGAGCTGGATTTGAATGCAAAAGCCAGCACATGTGTTTCATGTGACTCTTGAGCTCTTGATTCAATTCGAGATTCGATTTTGACTTTTTCATTCAGAACAGAACATTCAGAACAGTTGAATTGGATAAAAGATTGAGGAAAGGGAAAAAGAAATTGCCTAACTAGCGAACTAAGAAAGAAATTGGGTAAAAGATTCAAAACTACAATGTTTACATGATTCCGTTTGACTAGAACATCTGAATTGGATAAAACTAGAGAATAGAGAAACCGGAAGCATCAAAAAACCTTTCAACTAATGTTTTCATGGCTTGATTTGACAAAGTCAACAACTAGACAGTGTTTTGGCTAAATGTTTTGTTTGTTTTGCTTTTCTTTCATCGCTTGCCTTCTGATTTAAGCGAGTTAAAAGAGTTAAAAGAAAATTTTGATGAAAACTTTAGCCAAACACTTCAACAATAGCTCCACTCAACAGAAAACTCGCGAAATTTTATTTGAAAACATTTCTCCTTTGCGCTCTCTTGATTATGAGCTCAAAACAGCTCATTTCAAAAGCCAAGGTCCTCAAAATAACCCAACTAGCGTGATCAGGCTCCTCAAGGTCAATGAAAACGTGATTGAATGGGCTGAGATATCAATTTCTAAACAAGAACTGACTCAGTCAAATCACTTCCGGTCATCTAAATCTCATGGGAGATCAAAATCCATGGAGTTTTCAAGGAAACAAACAGCTTCCCCTTCCCTTTTCTCTCTTTCTCTTCCGTCATTCGCTTTTTGCCCAACAGCACCCACTTAACCGGGAATTGATCGAGCGAAATGACTCAAAAACAGGGGAAACGTGGGATAACACGTGGGCAATTCTATTTGAATTGAATTTTCTTCACTCTTTGGCTTTTGGAGATGTTTTCTGAACTAGAGAAGAGGCAGGGATTGGAGGATATTTGAGTCATAAGGCTAAAGAATGAAAAAAAAGACTATTGACTGGCTTTACTATTGACTGAGCTTGATCTACTGACTGAGCTTGATCTATTGACTGGCTTTCCTTTTGATTGAGCTTGAGCTACTGACTGAGCTTGATCTACTGACTGGCTTTACTACTGACTGAGCTTGAGCTACTGACTGAAGCTTCTCTAGCTACCATTCAAAATCTTTAAAAGTATAAAAATAGAGATCAGTTTAGAAGTTTAGAAGATCTTAGAATAGCTTAGAAGAGCTAAACTAGAGCCAATTTCAGCCTGGCAGAGTCGCCACACTGATCAACGATGCGAGCTCATCAGCATCGGGAATGCTTTTCCGCGTTGAGGGACAAAAACAGATCCGAGCCGCCTTGGAGCACTTGACAGAACGAGAGGTGAATATTTGTTTATTCTATAATCTATAATACTGTAAATATAAATTTAGCCAAGAATTTCAGGTCGGAAACGGTTACGAGTTTCGCGTTGTTGCTTGCGAAGTCGAGATGGACAACGAGATTGTTCAAATGAATGCTTTGACTTGCATAGCTCAGTGAGTTTAATAGAATTTGTGTTATTGAATATTTATTGAGTATTTATCAAAGATTACGGTATTATCTAAATTTCAGTCACAACAATGAGTTCTATCTTGGGCCTGATGAAACGTTTAAAATGGCTGATGAGATCCGACGAGCCAAAGGATTAGCTGGACCAAATTATGAGTGAGTTTTTTGAGATAAAACTTGTTTAAAACTCTGTTTAAAACTTAAAAATCGATAATATTTGAAGATCTTAATGATCTCTTAATGATTTAAAGAGTTTAAATCGAGAAAAGCTTGAGCTCTTTGGCTAAAAATGTCAATTTATTCCTATCGAACAATTCCTGTAAATAGTTCAGTTCATTTTCTCTTATTTCCCCTTTTCTCATTACCAGTTAGCTGGTTTTTGTCGAAAAAACTGAGATTTCAATTTTTCTCAACAAAAATGGGATAATTTGAAACACTTTTATCTCGCTTTTGCCTCATGCAATCGTTTTAATAGAAATGATCAGCTGAAAAAAGGAAAAAAAGGAAAAACGATAAATTAGAAAGAGAAAAAGATAGGAAAAAAGGAAAAAGGGAACGGCTGATGCAATTTGGGTCACCCGGCGAATCAGAAAGAAATGTATAGACGGGGGAATCCCCTTTGAACAGGGAAATGAAGTGAATCACTCGATAAACATTGCTAATTTTTGAAACGAGAATAGAAAAAAGCTGAATGCTTTTTTAAACTAAAGCAAAGTCAAGCAAAGTAAAGCAAAGTAAAGCAAAGTAAAGCAAAGTAAAGAAACATGGTTTTTAAAGTATGGCAAAGAAACTGGAAGCGACGGGGAATTGAACCCTCGACCTTCTGCTTACCTTCTTTCTAGATGCTTCTTTCTAGATGCTTCTTTCTAGATACTTCTTTCTAGCTGCTTCTTTCTAGCTGCTTCTTTCTAGATACTTCTTTCTAGATGCTTCTTTCTAGATGCTTCTTTCTAGACACTTTACCACTGAGCTATTCGCGTCTATTTTCCCCTAGAAGAAATAGAAAACACAAGGAACAAAGAGTGGGAAAGTCCTTCTTCAAAACCCTGGGCAAATTATTGATCTACTAGCCGAGAAGCCTGCCTAACGGCTGGCTTTTCCGGATGTTTTGGGGATGGGGTTTTTGTCGCCGTGGAGCAGTGGATAGCGCGCCGGTGGATAAGAGAATTTGTTTATTTCCTTGTTCTTAGCAAAACAATCAGTGAATCATTAGATAAACACTTTGGAAAGAATGGGGAAGTAGCCATTTGAGCAAATTATTCGCCTATTCATCTAATATTTCTTTTTTTCTGTTTTCTTCTTTGTCTGAATCATCATTTGCCAATTTAGCTAAACAAAACCAAAGAAATTTCGCTAAACAAAGCGAAACATTCAGTTGGTTTGGCAATTTGATGAACAAGAATTTGATAAACTCGAGAATTAGAAAAGAAATTGATGACTTTACCCAAGTTTACCCCTTAAAGCTTTCCATTTTCTTGATTGGTTAAAGATTTGGAGTGTTGAGTGACTTGTTGGGCTTTGGATGGATTCTAGCTCTAATTTTAACTCTATTACATTTTAGAATTCGAAAAACTAAAGGTTTTCTTTGCTGTTTTTCTCTTAAACAGTTTTTTTGGTTTGTTTCTGCTTTCGTTTCACCGTTTCACACAATTTTCCCTAAAAATAAACCCAAATTGTTTCAAAATCTCAAATTTTATCTCGAAACCCCTTTAAAAACATCCCAATATACTTAATTGTTGATTAGATCTTAAAAATTAACCAATTCTTTCGTAATCAAATCGAAAAAAAGAATGAACTTATCAAAAAAAGAAAAAAGAAAAAAGAAAAACAAACAAAAAGTGCAAAAAAAAAGTGCAATTCTCAAATTTTTAACCTCAAATATTTAAGTTTCTTTTTTTCTTTTGTAAACAAAAATATTATTAAAACAATTTCAGATATGTGTTGAAATTGGCTGAGCACATTCGTTTGTTGTTTCCTGAGGAAAATGATCGACATTTATTCGAATTAGAGGGAATGGTTCGAAATGGATTAGCGACATTAGCTTAAATCGTTTCGTTAAATCATTTTTTACTCAATTTTCTTTCAATTCTATCAAATGTATACCCAAATTTACCCTTAAACCTTTCCATTTTCTTGATTGGTTAAAGATTTGGAGTGTTGAGTGACTTGGTGGGCTTTGGATGGAAGTTGAAAGGCTCTGACGAATCTGACGACTCTGACGAAGCTCCCCATAAACTTTTCAATTATCCAATCATGAAAATCAGCTAATTTTTGAGCTTTCTTGAGTCTTCTTGAGTCTAACGAATGTTTTTGAGTCAATTTCCCACTCAACACTTGAAAGTTCAGGTAGCTTTAAAGCTTTAAAGCTCTTTAAAGCTCTTGACAGCTCTTGACAGCTCTTTAAAGCCTCGTAAAGCTCTTTAAAGCTCTCTAAAGCTCTCTAAAGCTCTCTAAAGCTCTCTAAAGCTCTTGAAAGCTCTTTAAAGCTCTTTAAAGCTCTCTAAAGCTCTTTAAAGCTCTTTAAAGCTCTTGACAGCTCTTTAAAGCTCTTTAAAGCTCTTTAAAGCTCTTTAAAGCTCTTTAAAGCTCTTTAAAGCTCTTTAAAGCTCTTTAAAGCCTCGTAAAGCTCTCTAAAGCTCTTTAAAGCTCTTGACAGCTCTTTAAAGCTCTCTAAAGCTCTTTAAAGCTCTTTAAAGCTCTTTAAAGCCTCGTAAAGCTCTCTAAAGCTCTCTAAAGCTCTTTAAAGCTCTTTAAAGCTCTTTAAAGCTCTTTAAAGCGCTTTAAAGCTCTTGACAGCTCTTTAAAGCCTCGTAAAACTCTTGACAGCTCTCTAAAGCTCTTTAAAGCTCTCCAAAGCTCGTTTAAAAATACTATCAAAAGTTCGTTTATTCTCTAAATTCTCTAAAAATCTAATTGATTCATACGGTTCTCTTAAAGCTTTAGCCACAATATTGTTTAACAAATACTCAGTTATTCATACGGTTATGTATAAAAAACGCTAGAGATTTATTTTTCTTTTCTAGCCTTTTTCGTCTTTCAAATTTCTTCTGTCTTTTCAACGAATTCACATTTTCTTTCCCGAAATTCACTTATTTTACCTCGTTTTTCCGCTAGATTTCTGTTTATTTGTGTTATATTTTAGTGGTCAGCTTTTGCTGACCACTAAAATTAGCTTTTGTATGAAATGAGGGATCTTTTCTTGTTTTTACGTTTCTTTTTCACTTCTCTACGTGTATATCATGTGCAAATGAATGCGATCATTCTCAAACGCTTTCAAAATATCCTTATAAAAGATTTTGAAAAACCTGAAATTCTCTAAAAACACAAATAACGTTGTACACGAGTCTTCAGCTTTCGTATCGGAAAGGTAATCTCTGCAAGAGTTATGCCTTAAATTAGCAATAACTTTCCAGGTCATGTCACAGTCAGGTCCAGATCCAGCTCAGTTAGGATGAGCCAAGACAGGCTACCGGATCACTGTTTCGCATAGCCGTGAGAAATTTAGGCTAGCTTGCAGGCTGGCTTAAATAGGCCAGGCTAGGTTAGCTTGCAGGCTAGCTTAAATAGGCCAGGCTAGGCTAGCTTGTAGGCTAGCTTGTAGGCTAGCTTGTAGGTTAGCTTTTAGGCTGGCTTAAATAGGCCAGCTTTAGCTTCGGCTGCTTGAATAGGCCAGGCTAGGCTAGCTTGTAGGCTAGCTTGAATAGGCCAGGCTAGGTTAGCTTGCAGGCTAGCTTGAATAGGCTAGGCTAGCTTGCAACCAGATCACGGTTCAGATCTGGTCAATAGACCAATAAGTAGCTAACAAAGGCTCTTCTTAAAGAACCAGTCTCGGCTTAGCTTTTGTTAGTTCCTTCAAAGCCAAGCCAGATCTAGAAGTGAGTGCTGGCCTGTTTCTGCCCTGTTCCTGTCTCGCCTGAATCTAGTACTTTACCAGGTATCACGAAATCAATAACTGCTTGTCACGTGGGAACCTTTGACTTGAATTTTTCCATTCATTTTTCAATAATGAAAAAATTGGAGTAAAATGTACGGTATAATATCGATAAAACTGCAGAAACAATATAAAAATCAACATTTTACATCAGTAAATAGCTTTCTTTTATTAATTTAATTTACTTTTACAGTCAGAAATTTGAAATTTCCAAAAATAAAAGTAAAACTTATGGACTCTCGGCGAAGAAAAACTTTTGCGAATCGAAAATTCTTTTATGAAAACGACAACAACAAATGATTGTTAAAGAATTGAGAAGAAATATGAAAAGTGAATGAGAAAAGAGAAGATATGAACCATTCGCCAATTCGACACCCATATACAGAAAGTAGAGCCGCAATTCACTGGCCTAAAATGGTTTTCGGTTCTTGTTTCTGTTCTGTTCTGCTTTTTTTTACATGATTTCTCGATGGAGGATAATGATTCAGTTGGATTTTAAGGCTTGTAACCTAAGCTAGTTCCAGGCTAAGCTAGGTTTAGGTCTAACTGAACCCAGGGAAATAAATAGACTAGGCTAGGCTAGCTTGCAGCCTAGCCTGGCTTGCAAGTTGCAGCCTATCCTGGCTTGCAACTTGCAGCCTAGCCTGGCTTGCAACTTGCAGCAACCAGATCACGGTTCAGATCTGGTCAATAGACCAATAAGTAGCTAACAAAGGCTCTTCTTAACGAACCAGTTTCAGTTTAGCTTTTGTTAGTTCCTTCAGGCCAGGCTAGGCTAGCTTAAATAGGCCAGATTAGGCTAGCTTGCAGGCTAGCTTGCAGGCTAGATTAAATAGGCCAGGCTAGCTTAAATAGGCCAGATTAGGCTAGCCTGCAGTCAGATCACGGTTCAGATCTGTATAAACCTATTGATCCATACAGAATCTGTATAGATCAATAGACCAATAAGTAGCTAACAAAGGCTCTTCTTAAAGAGCCAGTCTCGGTTTAGCTTTTGTGAGTTCCATCAAAGCCAAGATCTAGAAGCCAGGTCCGCCTACTTTTACTTTCTTGCTTTCAGCTTGCCCTGTCCGGAAAACTCTTTATTTAACTTTTAAGATACAGAAATGTTCAACTTTAACTTAATAAGGGCTTATTTAGCAGGCTATTGGGGATGAAAGTGGAACACAATTTAGAGTAAACGAGTGCTGGGTTGTTCTAAAGGCAATTTTTCCAGGCTAGGTCTGACCTATTGGAACATCCCTGACCAGACTTGTCTTGGTTTAGCTAAGGAATGATTCAAACTGGAGCTGATGTTTCAGGAATGCAAACACGAGTCGGATATCATTTCAAATTTCATTTCATTTCATTTCAAATATCTATTCAGTTTTTGACCAAATTAAAATCGTGACAAATGAAGTTTCGAAGATTTTTGAAAGATCTCCTCTAGCTAATAACAGTTCTCCACACGCTAATGAACCAATGTCATTGATGGTTTAGTGGATCTGCGTTTACTAGACTAGAATGTAAGGTTTACTGGACTAGATTGTAAGATTTACTAGACTAGATTGTAAGATTTACTGGACTTGATTGTAAGATTTACTTTTGTAATCAGTTTTCAGATCTACTCAGGTTTAGTGGATCAGATCTTTCAGATCAGTGGAGTGCGTCGGACTACGAAACGTACACCACTCTCTGCGGTTGGTTCGAGTCCTGTCTCCGTCTAACCTCTTTGTTTTTGAAAAATAGACAACCATTTTTAAGGCTATTTCTTCTTCGAAGCTTATCTTAGCTTAAGAAAAATGATTAATTTGTCAAAGAAAACTCTTTGAAAAGATTCTTTTAGCATAAGCGGTTAGAAATTGTTTAGAAAGGATCGTTGGATGGACTTGAACTTTATCTTGCTGACAGACCGAATTTAGAGTTGTAAAAACAGTCTAACGCTAAGAAATACTTCAATAGCCATTTCTCTCATTCGCCTCGCCTACCAAGAACGCCTACCAAGAACGATGGATAAAGTAGAGCCAATCCTGAGATCCTTCTCCTCACCCCAATCATCGAGAAAATTTTCGTTGTCATCGCAATGGCTATCCAACCGATTTGAAAAGAAATTTTCCCGAGCAAATCCGTTTTCTCATTTTCCGAGTATTCGACAGGGAATTTTCTGAATTTTGCTAGATTTTTGGGAAAATTTTTGAACTCACTCCTTAAGTTTTCCATTGAATAAAAGAAAATACAATAGTACTTCGAAAAGTTGGCCGAATAAGTGAAGAAATGCTAAGAAAGCAAAGATTATCTAAATTTCTAATAAACAAAAAGGAAAATTTGCCTTTACTTTAAAGCTAGAATCCTGGAGATACATGGAAGAACTTGGAAAGATAAAAATCAATGCAATCACCTTTTTGCCAAATCAATGCCACCACCTGGTTATCAAATAATCCGTGATTACGTTATTTTTGATGAAATTTCGAAAGAAACTTGTTTCATCACTGAAAAGATTTTGTGAAGTATCAGTAAAAGAATCTAAAAATGGCTAATATTTGATGAAATTGAGGTAAACGTATTTTGTGTAGGCCTAAACAGCGCCTAAACATTCTTTGTGTTCTTCTATGAAGTTCGGAGGGGAAACTGCAATGGCACAAAGCGCTATGGCACAAACCAAGCGTTATGGCACAAAGCAAGCGCTATGGCACAAAGCGCTATGGCACAAAGCGCTATGGCACAAAGCGCTATGGCACAAAGCGCTTGGCACAAAGCGCTTGGCACAAAGCGCTTGGCACAAAGCGCTATGGCACAAAGCGCTATGGCACAAAGCGCTATGGCACAAAGCGCTATGGCACAAACCAAGCGTTATGGCACAAAGCAAGCGCTATGGCACAAAGCGCTATGGCACAAAGCGCTATGGCACAAAGCGCTATGGCACAAAGCGCTATGGCACAAAGCGCTTGGCACAAAGCGCTATGGCACAAAGCGCTATGGCACAAAGCGCTATGGCACAAAGCGCTATGGCACAAAGCGCTATGGCACAAAGCGCTATGGCACAAAGCGCTATGGCACAAAGCGCTATGGCACAAAGCGCTATGGCACAAAGCGCTTGGCACAAAGCGCTATGGCACAAAGCGCTATGGCACAAAGCGCTATGGCACAAAGCGCTTGGCACAAAGCGCTATGGCACAAAGCGCTATGGCACAAAGCGCTTGGCACAAAGCGCTATGGCACAAAGCGCTATGGCACAAAGCGCTATGGCACAAAGCGCTATGGCAAAAAGCAAGCGCTATGGCACAAAGCCCAATAGCACAAATCGAGAGTAACCTTTCAAAAAAAATGGAAAAGAATTTCGATTTGGTTGTTGTTGTTGATTAGAAATAGATTTAATAATGCTTAAAACACAGCAAAAAGGACTCATCGGAAAAGTCAAAAGCCTTGACCTTGCCTTTGACTTTGGATTCCGCCAGCTAATGGTCAAGCAAAACTGATATTTACATCAAAAGCATATTATTAAAGCTCTTTTCTAACCGTTTTAAGAATTTTTGACCCTTTACTACGGTTATTAAACAATTAGATGACTTTAAATTAAGCCTTACGTTTCCAAAACGCAAGAAATATTGGCCTTGAGCCTGACTAGCTTGACTTTTCTGTTAAACTTGACTTTGCAAGAACTTTGCAAGAAAGAACTGCTTTGCAAGAACTTTGCAACTTTGCAAGCTAATCCAAAGTCAAGTTAGAGCCAGGCTTACCAGGGAAAGTTGTATTTCTTGAAATTACATTTTAGGAGCGATCTGAAAGGGATCTGAGAGAGATCTGAGAGTGATCTGAGAGAGATCTGAGAGTGATCTGAGAGAGATCTGAGAGTGATCTGAGAGTGATCTGAAAGAGATCTGAGAGTGATCTGAGAGAGATCTGAGAGAGATCTGAGAGTGATCTGAGAGTGATCTGAAAGAGATCTGAGAGTGATCTGAGAGAGATCTGGGAGAGATCTGGGAGAGATTCCGAGACGCAAACACCTCCTGGTCAAGTGCATCCCGAAACTGCTTTCAAATCCTAATTATCATAAGCCATTTTTAAGATATAGGCCTTCAAAGTTTCGACCAATTTTGCCAAACAACAAGCTAGCCTACTTAGCGTGTTTACGCGAGCCAGTGCGAAGTGGGCCGATGGCCTAGTGGATAGTGTGCTAGTCTTCCGAACGTGCCATCCCTGGTTCAAGCCCGCTGCCAGCCGATCTTTTGTTTTTTACACTCGAAAGTAACTTTTTTTGCTTAGTAATCTCTTAAATAATGTTAGTTTAATGGAAAAAAGGTTTCGATTTTTAAATAATTGATCTAATAGATTTAGATTAGATCTCTAGATCACTTTTTAGATCTTTTTAGGGCTATTGGATCAAGAAGGGTATCTTCTTACAAAATCTTCTTCTTAAAACCTCACTCTTTTTAGAAAAAACAATATTTGAGTGACTTTTGATTGGTTTACACAAGAAATATCCCGTTTTAAACTAATAATTGCATTCTAGTTACAATTACAGACACAAAAAAGATCTTTGACTGTTCAGAAATCTAAATTTCACCCAGTCAATACCAAGAAAAGAGCCGTTTTTTTTTTCCTTGAAAAGAACACCTGTTTAATTTCAGCTTTTAAAAAGATACGCAAATCATTTTCAACTTAAATTTCTCCACAATGTCATACGAATATCCAAGCACATATCTGACAATTGGACATACGATTGGCGCTTTAGGAACACTTTCCACTGTTTTTGCTCTATTCGTCATTGTTAAAGCTTCCACGAAATTCATGACTCGTTACAAGTATTGTTTATTGATAATGCAGGTAAATAGAAAAATGAGCTTTTTCTTTAGAAGCACTCCCTTTCTGGCGCACTCCCTTTGAAACACTCCCTTTCTGGCGCACTCCCTTTGAAACACTCCCTTTCTGGTGTACTTAATTACTCGCAAAACGCGTTGCTATGAGGAATTCAAAGAAGTACCGTTTTGAGTTTCCTTTTTGAGTACAAATCACGGCTATAATTGCCTTTGTATCTTATATTAACAATGAAATATTCAGTGTTCCTCAGCCGCTTACGATTTATTCGTTCAACTCGCAGTCCCGGAAATCTACTTACCAGCGATTGCTTGCAGATTGTATGGAGTTCTTTATACGAGTTTTCAATGCAATATTTCGATTGCTTTTGTAAGTCGAATGGAATGATGTTTCCTTAATAGTAGTACACTTTGAGCTTCCTCTAAATTCCTCGAAATCTCGAGAACCGCTTATCAGAATCGATTGATGTGGGATCGGGAAATGTAGCTGGTGATGAGATCTAGCGGGAGATTTGAGTGTTAAGCTTCTGTGAGAACTTGGAAACCGTAAAATAGTCACCAACTCGGCTCGCCGGGGTGCACTACTATTAGAGAGAATAGGGTAGATTTGGAATGAGCATAAAGCTCTGCGTCGAATGGTATAGGTTGCATAACATTTGACCTTCTCAACCTTCCCTTGTCCATTAAATATCTTCGCCATCTACCGTATTCTCTCCAATAGTAGCGCACCTTAAGCCTCGCCTAAATTCCTCGAAATCTCGAGAACCGCTTATCAGAACCTATCGATGTGGAGTCGGAAAATGTAGCTGACGATGAGATCTAGTGGGAGATTAGAGTGTTAAGCTTGTGGGGAAACTTTGAAACCGTAAAATAGTCATTAACTCGGTGCACTACTAGTAGAGAGAATACCTACAATTAGACCTAGAATACTGTAAATATATATAGAAAGAAGAGATCTGTATTTAACAAATTGTAAAAGTATTTTTGGGTGGAAGTGGGTAGACTAATTTCTTGACTAAAGTCAAGCCAGATGCCAGACTTAAACTTGGTCTAGTTCCTACTTTCTCAAATCAATATTAAAGCTAGTCTGCTTAGTCTAGTTTCTTTAAAGCCAGTCCAAGTCAAATTTTAATACCGTATTCTCTCTAATAGTAGTGCACCCTGAGCGTTGCCTAAATTCCTCGAAATCTTGAGAACCGCTGATCAGAATCTATTGATGTGGGTCGGGAAATGTAGCTGACGATGAGATCTAGTGGGGGATTTGAGTGTTGAGCTTCTGTGAAACTTTGGGAGCCTTTGGAAGCCGTTAAATAGTCATCAACTCGGCTTAGCGGGGTGCACTACTATTAGAGAAAATACGATACTTTTGATAATCTCAGTGATGTTAATGAACGTTTTCTAGTGAGGGATTAGAGGGTTGAGCTTCTGCCAAAGCTTGGAAACCGTAAAATAGTCATTAACTCGGCCGCATTGGTGCCCTACTAGAAAATAATCAGGGAAAAGAATCTAATCTACAACCTAAAGTTGCTCAAAGATGTTCAACTGATATTCCAATTTTGAATGCTTTAGTTGAACGGAAGTCTAAATAATAGGTAATCTAAATAATAGTCTAAATTCTAAGTCTAAATAATAGGTAATTGGAATGACTCTAATATTGGGCATTACCTACGGTACGGCTTTGTGCTTTGTCTATCGACATCGGCAACTTTTGCCACCAAATCATTGGCTAAGGTGAGCTGATCTCTTTTGCTAAAATAGACTAAATGACTAAAGTCTTTTGCTAAATGATTCATTTCAGATTTTCTGTAACGATTTGGTGTGCCATTTTCATTGTTAATATAATTTTTTACATTACAGCTGGTTCATTTATCATTTTCTCTTTGCCCTTTCAACATCCACCGAATGCAAGCGGTTTAACCAGCTTGATCAAAGTAAACAAAGCAATTTTTGGACTTTAAAACGAAATTTGGCTACTTTGGATAACGGAATTGTAATCCTGATACTGTAGCTTTTGGTAACTAACTCAGAGATAGAATGATAAAGGTTAAATCTATAATATAACGTTCCCAGTCACGGTAGGAGCTGCTTTGAAGCATTGGATAACTCGTAACCTTCAAAAATCAATCTACTGGCCGGATTACTATAGCTAAAGCATCTTTTAGCCTTTAATTCTCTTTAGCCATGCTCTCAAATCCAATCTAGGCTCATCCCGATCGGGCATATCTCGAAAATGAAACCGATGCATGGATCGGCGATGCATCCGCCATTCTACCAATCCCAATTTTCACCATACCTTCCATGACCGCTTTATTATCATTACTACTTTTTCAGCTGGCAGAGAAAACTGTTTTGGTGGGTTTCTTTAGAATTCCAATGATTGGTTTGCAAAATTCAGCTAGCTTTCTTCACATTTCATTCATTCGCTTTACTAAAGCTAAATTCGGCTTTTATCAGTGAGAAAACGAGAGAATTGCACCGGAAAATGATCATCGCTTTGCTTTGGCAGGTGACTCTTTTTTTGGGAAATTAGAGAATTACAAGAATTCAACTTTCCGTGAAGCGAGCCTGCTAAAGCGGCCCTGGTGAAGCGGCTTTGGTAAAGTGGCCTTGGTAAAGCGGCCCTGGTAAAGCGGCCCTGGTGAAGCGGCCTTGGTAAAGCGGCCCTGGTGAAGCGGCCTTGGTAAAGCGGCCCTGGTAAAGCGGCCCTGGTAAAGCGGCCCTGCTAGAACGGCCCTGGTAAAGCGGCCCTGCTAGAACGGCCCTGGTAAAGCGGCCCTGCTAGAGCGGCCCTGGTAAAGCGGCCCTGGTAAAGCGGCCTTGGTAAAGCGGCCCTGGTAAAGCAGCACAAATACACACCTGAAATCTTCCAACAATTGTAAATTTGATAACTTTTTATTACAAACCATAGAAATTTTGAGCTTTTCACCCAAGAAACTCACCGCATTGAGCGCCAGAATGAGTTGTCGGCCTAAGCGAGCCTGCTAGAGAGCAGTGTAAAGTGTGAATTCCTTTTGATTACCAACTTTCAAAAGCTACCGTAATCTTGTCTTGTTTCCACACTCTAAATCTGTGACCTGCCGCTCTAAAGCGTCACCCGGTTACTGTAACCGGTAATAGATTCTATTATAACTCAGCTATGTCATAGTCTCTCATAGATGTTATCATATCCTCTTCTCGTAAACATTGTCATCAACATTATCATCAATCAAATGTTAATGGTAATTAAAGTAAAGATAAAGTGGTTAAGATAATTGGGATAGACTAACTGACTTGTAACTAACTGGGAAGAGGCCCACCGTGGCCCTTTAAATCAAGAACCAGACCATCTTGTAGAGGATTTCACGAAGAATCCGATACAGTTTTTATTTTTTACCCACAACACCGCAAGATATCTGGCAAAAAGGCTTTTAGCATGTCTATTTGAGGCGTAAACAAACAAATAACATATAACAAATAACAAATAAACATTAACAAAACATAATAACAAATAAATATATAACAAATAAACATTTGAGGCGTCCAAATGAACAAAAAGCAAAAGATTTAGCTGCAAAGGGAATTGAACCTGAGCAAAAATGGTATAGCCTGGTCTGCAGACAAGCCTTCTATCCACTACACCATCAAGGGATCTGAACGATCAGTGTGTGAACGCTTCAAAAGGCTACTTGTGGACGTATGCGAACCTGACAAAAGGACGCCTTTTAGACGAATGCTTAGACATGCCAAAAGCTTTTTAACCAAATATTCTAACGTTACAGATCTAAAGGACAAAAACAAAAAACTGCATCGGATTCCCCGTGAAATTCTCTACAAGATCCTCTGGCTTTTTTTCCTGTTTTCATGTCTCTTCTTAGTGAATCAATAGGGAAAAAGTTCACAATTGTATTGGGTTGATGGAAAAGTCCTTTCCGATTTTTTGGGAGAGTACCTTAAATTTGTCGAATTTTGACGTTTTATAGCTCATCCTAAAGCTGAATTCAAGACGGATCGATTGGTAAAAACCGTTTTGAGATATCTCTTTTCTAAAAGTTTTTACAGCTATTTTAGTAAAGGGGCGCAGAGCCAAAAAATGGCTGTTTTCACGTTTCGTTAGTTTTCCGTGCAGAAACCTAGGCTAAAAACATGTGTTTCGTGATCAGCGTCAAAAATAACCCCTAGACACGCATTTTCAGAATCTTAGCAAAAAATTTTTGAAAAATATTGTCACTGGTGGAAGTCGAACCAGCGACCCTCAGATCAATAGCCTTTCCGCCGCTTTTCGCGATTTTCCTTCGTTTTTCTCGTTTTCTTTTCGCTAAGATTCTGAAAATGCGTGTCTAGGGGTTATTTTTGACGCCGATCACGAAACACATGTTTTTAGCCTAGGTTTCTGCACGGAAAACTAACGAAACGTGAAAACAGCCATTTTTTGGCTGTTTTGGCTCTGCCGCCCTTTACTAAAATAGCTGTAAAAACTTTTAGAAAAGAGATATCTCAAAACGGTTTTTACCAATCGATCCGTCTTGAATTCAGCTTTAGGATGAGCTACATAAAACGTCAAAATTCGACAAATTTAAGGTAATCTCCCAAAGAACAATTGAAAGACAAAAGCTTCAACTTTTCGATTGTTTTTTGATCCAAACTTTTCCAAATCCAAGAATTGAAGCCTAACTTTGAATTGAAGTTTTTAGGCCGGCGTTCCAATGGCAACAATAGGCTCACCACTCGTTTTCCTTGGAGTTTTATCATGGTTCGGCTTCTCAATGGGACAAAGTAAGAAAATTATTAGTTTAATCTGTCAGATTTCTATATTTTATAGAAAATTTCATCTAGTTATTTGTCCATCTAAGTATAAAACTTTTAGATATCATCAACTCAAGTTGCAATCTTGTTATCTGTCATGGCTTGATCTCTTCAACTTTGACCATAGCTCTTATTAAACCCTATCGAACGTATTGCACAAAAATTATTGGGTTAATTCAATAATTATAAGAAAATTCATGAATTTTACAGGTCTACCTATATTCTCAATAAATTCAAGTCGGGAACAGCTGTAAAAGTGATGCAAGAGTTAACTCCAACAAAATAACATTTCCAGTTCTCAATTCTCGTTACTTATCATGAAATTGAACTTTTTATGCTTGAAATCATGCTATTAAATCAATTTTTTTGTGATTTTCTTTCTTTCAGCTTCGGAATTTTATCAAAAGATAGTTTATTCATCGATAATTATGGGGTTGGTGAATTGAAAAGAGCCGGCTATTGTCATCTATCACAGTTTAAGCACTTTCTTCAAAAGAAACCGATTCTGGTGTCAATGGAGAAGTTGTAGAGAATCAAAAATTAAGCTTATATCTAAATTTCCAAAAAGATACACTTAGTAGTTCAGCTTAAAATCTGTATTCTGTATGTTCATTGTGCGGGCGCGTAATCGCTCGTCGGCTCGCGCAGGGCTTTTACATAACCCCCTTCGCTCTCTGCTTTCCAATCTCCTCTGTCCGTTTCCGAATCTTCAAATTCGACATTGACTTCTCCGCAAATCAAGGCTAATCTCAATCTATTGGTTTGGTGAATTGAAAACTGCGGGCTATTGTCATCTGTCACAGTTTAAGCACTTTCTTCAAAAGAAACCCATTTTGGTGTCAATGGAAAAGTTGTAGAGAATCAAAAATCAAGCTTATATCCAAATTTTCAGAACGATTCAAAAACTGGTTTTCAAGAAATGCGAAATTTACGAATTTTCACAAAAATTGCATTTTAAGCGAAACTACTAAATGTTTCTTTTTGGAAATTTGGATATAAGCTTCATTTTTGATTCTCTACAACTTTTCTATTGACACCAAAATGGGTTTCTTTTGAAGAAAGTGCTCAAACTGGGCTGACAGCTGACATCTCCAGTCCTCCATTTTTGCGTCTCACACTTGTCTCACAAACAAACCAAAATCCTACTACGAAAGAGGAATCCGCAAATTGCCTGTAAAATGAGCAGAAGCCGTCAATAATAATGGAAATTATTTGGAATGAATTGATGGTTTTATGTTGAATAAGTTTTAGTTCAAAGTCCCGCAGTTTTCAATTCACTAACCCAATAGTTGGAAGTGCCGAAGAGGTTGATATGGAAGTGCCGAAGAGGTCTGGGGAACGTATTTGTTAAAGTTTTCCTCACAATTTTGAATTTAGTGAGATGTTCAAATCGAAACTTCAAGAAAAGTTGGCTTATTTACCATCAAGATCATTAATCAATTCCAGAGATGATAAATTGACGCTTAAAACTTGCGAAATTGTTTTTTTTAAATGAACAATTCAATACCAGATTCATGATATCTAAAATCTATCTAAAATCTTGATCTATCTAAAAATTTGAAGGCTTAGCAAAATTAAAAGAACATCAAGATTGGATATTTGGACTTTACAGTACGTTGAAGTACTATAAAGAATATGAAGTTAGTTCCGAGTTTCAAGTCGGGCACGGTGAAGGAAGCGCCAGTCAGCGAAGCGGGTGAAGGCACCATCACGCATGAAGTGGTTGGAAGAAGTGGAGAGCGTGGACGGTGTAGACCTTCCCTTGATCCGGCTTTGCGAGGAGCATCTTCTTGTGGTAGTCGCGGATCGCACTTCGGAGAGTTGTTTCGACAGTTCGTGGTGGGATGGTGGAGCCATTGAGCTGGAGATTTGGTAAGCTTTTGAATCCTATGAACATGAGGTTTTATGTCACTTTGAAATGCAAAATTACTTCATTTTGTAGTTTATCATCCTTGGAAAGGCAGTTAATTTTAGGAATGAACTTCGTCGAAATTAGGAAGCTTTGAAAGTATAATGAAAGCTTCAGCACAATGAAAAAGCCAAACGTTTGAGCCAAACTAAAAAGCCAAAATCATTTTTCAAGATCAATTCAAATCTATTGGGTTCATGGAAAAGTCCTTTCCGATTTTTTGGGAGAGTACCATAAATTTGTCGAATTTTGACGTTTTATAGCTCATCCTAAAGCTGAATTCAAGACGGATCGATTGGTAAAAACCGTTTTGAGATATCTCTTTTCTAAAAGTTTTTACAGCTATTTTAGTAAAGGGCGGCAGAGCCAAAAAATGGCTGTTTTCACGTTTCGTTAGTTTTCCGTGCAGAAACCTAGGCTAAAAACATGTGTTTCGTGATCAGCGTCAAAAATAACCCCTAGACACACATTTTCAGAGTCTTAGCAAAAAATTTTTGAAAAATATTGTCACTGGTGGAAGTCGAACCAGCGACCCTCAGATCAATAGCTTTTCCGCCGCTTTTCGCGATTTTCCTTCGTTTTTCTCGTTTTCTTTTCGCTAAGATTCTGAAAATGCGTGTCTAGGGGTTATTTTTGACGCTGATCACGAAACACATGTTTTTAGCCTAGGTTTCTGCACGGAAAACTAACGAAACGTGAAAACAGCCATTTTTTGGCTCTGCGCCCCTTTACTAAAATAGCTGTAAAAACTTTTAGAAAAGAGATATCTCAAAACGGTTTTTACCAATCGATCCGTCTTGAATTCAGCTTTCGGATGAGCTATAAAACGTCAAAATTCGACAAATTTAAGGTACTCTCCCAAAAAACCCGAAAGGACTTTTCCACCAACCCAATAGAAGTGAACTTCAATCAACAAATAATCAACTCAAAGAGCGGATGGTGGGAATGAAACCACGCTCACTTATCTTTCCAAAAATAAAAAAGATTGCAAGCCTCAGCCAATAAGTGTTGTATACTGTTCGCAAGTCCGGAATCTCCTCTACAAAATAGTGTAAAAAGATTCCGAATTGGATTGATTATTGAGGATTTGGGAGACTTTTAAGTGGAAAGATCAAAAATGAACATTTTCTGGAAAATGTTCATGTATTGTATTGTAATCTTTTGATTTTTGGAAAGATATCAATCTGTTTTTATTCCCCTCACCCTAAGATATGAATACAATACTATATGATTACTTAGATGATTGAGTCGACCGGAATCGCGGTTGGGGTGACTTGTAATGGAGAATGGAGAAGGTAGAAGTGACTGGATCATCTAAAATGAACCCATAATTTGGTAATATTCAGAATTTCATGGTTTACTGTGGAATCTAGTTTTTGGAAGCAATGTTATTCGGGTCAAGTTTTTGCCTTCATTGTTTTAGTTCTACAAGAAAAATGGCTCACAAGTGGAGGATCCAAAGGTAATCCAACTATTCTCAATAAAAGCTCCCAGGTCGTCTTTGGATCCTTCCCCTGTCAGGTTCAAAACTCACACCTATTTGAATCGGTCAATCGAGTTCCAGCTCGCATTGAAGTGTTCGGTCGAGTGCTTTGATCGTTCGATATTTAACAAAACATTGGAAAGTGTACTTCCGTGGCTCACCAAAATAGTTCTCGAAATAGCTACTACTGTCCTTTTCCTCGGAGCACGTGATAAAATAATTGGCCTCGTTGTTCACGAATCGTTTCTTGTAGTAGCCCTTATAGAAGCACGAAGAAGACTTCTCGATGAATAGCTCCTTATTCACTTGCCTTGTTTCCAGCTCTTTCTCCAATTCTTTCACTGCTTCTCGCATGAGAGCGACTTCTTCCGAATCGTCTCTCAACTCCTCACACCCTCGCTCCTCGTCGAACATTTCCCGATAATCCTGCGAGTTCACATGGACATCCTCTAGAATCTCATGTCCATGCAAGTTCACCAGATAGAATCTCTCATCGCTGGCTGTGGGGTTTTCTTGGAAGAATACTTGCTGGATTACGCGCATGAAGCGGAACCAATTCCCGGAAGGAAAACAGAGCAATTTTCCCGGAGCCTGGAAAATAGAGGCTCCCGGCAGCCACCGGGAGCACCTATTTTCCCAAGCAATTGAATAGCAGTCTTGTAAGGTTGGCCTTTTGATGAGGTCTTCCAAAAACTCATTGGCTTCTTTTTCTTTACTTGGCACATAAAAGATTTCAAGTGCCAATAAATCTCGAATAGTGACGTGAAAACGAGAAAGGATAATCTTCGCCAACTCCAGATTGGTGTCAAGATGAAATCTGAATAGATAGTCTGCTTTCGACAAGAACTCATTGTCCTGAAAGAGATTTTCGACGAATCTTCTGACAAGACGCGTGTCCAGAGTTCTAGAATCCGGAATGCTGATCGTGCAAGATTCCAACGAAATAATTTTATTATTCAGAAGAGCCCAGAAAGTTTTTCCTTTTACATTCAACGGGATTTTCTTGTCTTTGCTTATCAAAGTGACGTTGTGGCCGGAGACTTCAAATTCGATTTCACCATTGCTCATTTGAATGTCAAAGACAAGATCATCGAGAGTCTTCGCATGATAGTCGGAATCCAAGAGCCCGATATTTAGTTTCGAGATTCTCCGCGGAAACGGGCCGTATTCGAGGATTTTCCGCTCTAAGCTTTTGCTGGCCCGAAATGCCTGAGAGGTGTCATTTAAATGAATCGATTTAACAATGCAATTCTTCAGCTCTTCCGGCAAGAACGAATAGGGAAACATTTTGGAGTATTTCAAGAAATGGATCGAGAAAGAGAAATTCGAAAAAATGGATGACAAATGGATATTGGGTGACAAAACCCCTTTCATGGTGTCATTCTTCTGTGTGTCTGCACTTGGCTTTCTCTGTCCAAAAAGAGCTTTTTCCGGTGTCTTTTCCGTGTCGAGCATCCACTAAATAGGCTACAAAGAAACATTGGTTGATAGGTTTAGAAAATAGATGCTAACAAAAATGGTGTTTCAGATATGATAATATGTTTTGCTTTAGAAGCAAGCAAAGCAAGCAAAGCAAGCAAAGCAAGCAAAGCAAGGGTTTTCCATCACTAGAACTGGACAAAACAATACAAATACGAATACCTTATCAATACCAATATTTCAAAACAGCAAAACTTAACAATACAGTGCTTTTCATATCAAGTGCTTCACCCAGGAAAAGTGCTGTATCTTAAGATAGAAGCATACTAGAGCTCTAATTCTTTTTTTTCTTGAACAGAGCACATTTAAATACCTTAGTAAACACAGATTTACAAATCCTTTTCAAATATTCTCAAAAACTAATTCTCAAAAATTTTTCATCAATAAGAAAAATGTTACCGGGTTGATCCAATTGCTCTTCCCAATCGTGTTGATTGAACGGTATTGAACGGTATCATGGTAGCCCATGATTTCTCTAGTCGATCAGTCGATAACTGAAACTTGACGAAAGCTTGACGAAAGAAGAGCAAAAACTCGCCGACGGGCGGTGGACGAGAAGGCGGCTAGCGGAATCGAACCCGTGAGAAGAGACGGCATTCGTTTTAGAGTCTGGCACGCTATCCCCTAGACCATCGCTCCTTTGAGAGCCTCTCCGCGTAGAGCCCTCTTATAGCTAAGGAGCCAGATGGACAGCGATTGTGAGCTCGCACAAAGAACACCGTCATTTCCCGTCGAACTCCATGGAGGCTTCTCGAGACCTATCTACTAAGACAATGTGCCAGAAAGAGAGCGATTGCAAGGCAGCACGAAGAACGGACAAAGAACACTCAATGATTCTTTATTATGCTTTTTAGATTGCTTAAAAAGAAGCTATTTCGATGTAAATTTGTACCCAGGGGTTTTTGAGGTCGGAGAATCGATTGGCGATATTCATTTTATCAGTTAGAACTCGCCAAATTGCTCTAAACAGCTCTAAACAGCTCTAAACTTCAAAGGTTTTCTTATAAACAAATGTGTGTTGCTAAGAAATTTGATGTTGAAATGAAATTCAATGAAATTCTCTACAACTTTTCCATTGACACCAAAATGGGTTTCTTTTGAAGAAAGTGCTCAAACTGTGACATCGGACATCTCCAGTCCTCCATTTTTGAGTCTCACACTTGTCTCACACACAAACCAAAATCCTACCACGAAAGAGGAATCCGCAAATTGCCTGTAAAATGGGCAGAAGTCGTCAATAATAATGGGAATTATTTGGAATGAATTGATGGTTTTATTTTGAATAAATTTTAGTTCAAAGTCCCGCAGTTTTCAATTCACTAACCCATTAAAAAGCTGACAAAAAACTGGGACTGGGAGCTCTACTGGGAGTTGCTGGATAGCAAGACGACCGTTAATACAATCAAATACAGTGAACAATTGGGAAAGGTGAATGAATCCCTGAAGAAGAATAGGCCCTCCAAGTCAAAGATCGATCTCATCCACGACAACGCGCACCCTCATGTTGCACAACTGATTCGCTCTAAAATAAACAGCCTTGGTCGGGAAGTTTTGGCACATCCCCCATACAGTCCGGACCTCGCCCCTTTTGATTACTATTTATTCCGGATCATGAGTAATGAGCTTGCGGGAGAACACTTCGATTCACCAGCCCAATAAATTCTCGTTGCTTATCATGAAATTGAACTTTTTATGCTTGAAATGATGCTATTAAATCAATTTTTTTGTGATTTTCTTTCTTTCAGATTCAGAATTTTATCAAAAGATAGTTTATTCATCGATAACTATTAATTGTACAGATTTTTCTTCAAATAATCTTACTTAAGACTTTGAAATTAGAATTTGATCTACAATGTCGTTCTAAATCTCACAATATTGGCTCAACAATTTGACCGAGCACAGCTCAAGAGCGCAGCTCAAGAGCGCAGCACGTTGTCGCAAGGCCAAAATTTTCTTCTGGCATCGATTTTTCGGCAATCTCATCCACTAACGGGAAAACCAGTTTATGGCCACTGCACACCTGAAATCTTTCAACAATTGGATAACTTTTTATTACAAACCATAGAAAGTTTTGAGCTTTTTGACCCAAGAAACTCACCGCCTGGAGCGCTAGAAGGAGTGATCGGCCGCAAAGCTTTGTGATTGGCTTTTTCTGCGGCTTTGCCTCAATCAATCCGGAAACGAGCACCAACACAAAGAAAATAGAAACCGACTTCATTATCATATTAATCTAAAAGTTGTTGCAAGTAAAGCAAAGATATAATTTACAAGAAAGCTTTCACCAATCCAGATAAAGTTACTGTATCTGTTTCATCAAGCCAAACAAAGGGATTAAAAATAAAAGTGCCTAATTGATTCAGTTTGATTAACTGATTCAGTTTTATCCTGGATACTAGTAAATGTCTACTGCAAATCCGACTGTAAGCGGCTCCAATATGGATCCAATACGGATCCAATACGGTTCCAATACGGTTCTAAGACGGTTTCAATACGGATCCAATACGGTTCCTATTCTGATCTAATACGGTTCCACTACGGATCCAATACGGATCCAATACGGATCCAATACGGTTCCCATTTTGACTCAATACGGTTTCAATACAGTTCTTTTTTTCATCTAATACGGTTCCAATACGGCTCCTAATTTGATCTAATACGGTTCCAATACGGATCCAATATGGATCCAATACGGTTCCAATACGGTTCCTAATTTGATCTAATACGGTTCCAATACAGATCCAATACGGATCCAATACGGATCCAATACGGTTCCTAATTTGATCCAATACGGTTCCAATACGGTTCCTATTTTGTTCTAATACGGTTCCAATACGGTTCCAATACGGTTCCAATACGGTTCCAATACGGTTCTTTTTTTCATCTAATACGGTTCCAATACGGCTCCTAATTTGATCTAATACGGTTCCAATACGGATCCAATATGGATCCAATACGGATCCAATACGGTTCCCATTTTGACCCAATACGGTTCCAATACGGTTCCTATTCTGATCTAATACGGTTCCAATACGGTTCCTATATTTCTTTGCCTCAATCAATCCGGAAACGAGCACCAACACAAAGAAAATAGAAACCGATTTCATTATCATATTAATCTAAAAGTTGTTGTAAGTAAAGCAAAGATATAATTTGCAAGAAAGCTTTCACCAATCCAGATAAAGTTACAGTATCTATTTCATCAAGTCGAACAAAGGGATTAAAAATAAAAGTGCCTGATTGATTCAGTTTTATTCTGGATATTAGTAAGTATCTATTGTAAGTCCTACTGTAAGTCCTATTAAAGTCCTACTATCCTATTAAATATCTAAAACTGCAGCATGGCAAATCTGGGTAACGACTGAACGAAAACCACCAACTGCTTACAAGTTCAAGAGTTCAAATCACCTGAAACAAATGGTTAGACAAAGCTGCTAAATACTAAAAACCACTTTTCCTTGTTTTTCTTACAAAATGACTAAAACTGAACCGGAAAGTAAACCCAGAAAACAAAGAAAAACGTTTGACCAATTGTTACTGACAAAATGAATCACTCATCAAGACAAAAGTGACAGCTAAACTGATAAAAAATGGCAGCCAAAGCTTTGCTAAGATGCTCTAATAAGTAAAGAAAAGCTACAGTAATCCTGGTGCTTTCTTATATATCAATACATGATTCATGTAAGCATGAAAAACATGTTTGATTGATAAAATGACACCCAGTAAGCGTCTTGAAAACAAGAAGAGAAAAGTTGTTGAGACTGAAGAATCAATTAATTCGACAGAGTGCGCCATAATCCTCCGAACAAGATCGAATAGGGTGAGAATCAAAAAAACAACGAGTTTTCTCTAATTACAGTTTATTTTCTTCTTTAACAACATCATCTACATTGCCGTTTTCCTCTATGCTTCTATGTACAAAATGGAAAAGAAAATAGTTTCGTTTTGAACATCGAAATTGCTCTTTTTAAGTGAAAGCACGATTTTATTCATCCTAACATTTTTGCTATTCTTTGACGCTATTCGTTCCTTGGTATAAACGGATATGGACTAGAATTTGGGTTAAGTTAAACAGAGTGGATCCCTTTTGATATCCCGCCATCTCTAACACCTCGACAACCCAACTCAACTCCTTCAACGTATTAGAGGGGAGTCCCTGTGAAATGGCCGACCTGTACTGCAGTTGCATAGACCCGGAAGATATGTATCTTTATTTACAGTAGTACGATAAGACGAATAGATTACAAATGAGTGTAAGGGGAAGGGGGGACTCCAAATGAGAGTCTCGCTTGTCCTCCTAGGCTCCTCACTATCCTTCTAGGCTCCTCGCTGTCCTTCTAGGCTCCTCACTGTCCTCCTAGGCTCCTCACTGTCCTCCTAGGCTCCTCGCTGTCCTCCTAGGTTCCTCACTATCCTTCTAGGCTCCTCACTATCCTTCTAGGCTCCTCACTGTCCTCCTAGGCTCCTCACTATCCTTCTAGGCTCCTCACTGTCCTTCTAGGCTCCTCACTATCCTTCTAGGCTCCTCACTATCCTTCTAGGCTCCTCACTATCCTTCTAGGCTCCTCACTATCCTTCTAGGCTCCTCACTGTCCTCCTAGGCTCCTCACTATCCTTCTAGGCTCCTCACTGTCCTTCTAGGCTCCTCACTATCCTTCTAGGCTCCTCACTGTCCTTCTAGTTGAGTCCTTCACCTCACTCCTCCAAGGGATTAGAGGGGAGTCCCTGTGAAATGATCGACCTGAACTGCAGGTCGGTCGGTAGAACAGTTGCATAGACCCGAAAGATATGTATCTTTATTTACAGTAGTACGATAAGACGAATAGATTACAAATCAGTGAAAGGGGAGACTCCAAATGAGAGTCTCACTTGTCCTCCTAGGCAATCCCAAGGACCGCCCCTTCTCGGCAATAAAAGGGATAAGCACAGGGGAGAACAAATTTACATAAGAATAGACAAATCATTCAATAATAACAATAGTAACTAAAATATCATTTTGGCTCGGAGCTGACAACGCATATCAACAAGGATTTGTGTTCGATCGAGATGTGGTGAGTGATCGAAGAATCTATAGGGTGCGCCATAATTGTCGCAACAAGATAAAGTTCTGATTTTAAGGCAGACAAGAGCAAAAAAGACACTTTTAGAGTAACATTGATTGTACATTAACAATTATAAATGAACTATCAAATTCGAATTGGCCAGCATTTGAGCAGGCTCGCAGGCGTTTCAGGAAGGCGTCAACGGTGGCGACCAAATAGGCTGCATCAAGCTCTTCTCACGCTTTCAACAGTGACTTCTTCAAGCTTTCGATGTTTTTGTGGAGCTTTGAACAAGCTTTGTCTTCTCGACTACACTAAAAATCCATTGGGTTGAAATCTGGAGAGCTAGGTGGTCCCTCAGAGTGACAAGGCAGTCAAAGTAGTCAGTGACGAGGCCAAGACCAGGCCAGGATGGGACTGACTTCAGAAAACGTTTTAATCGTCACACTGTAGATGAAAAATCTCTTGCGCAATAGAAAGATAGGTGTGACTCATTGAGAATTTGATTGCTTTCAGTCAATTGCTCATCATTGCTCAGTCAATTGCTCATCATTGCTCAGTCAATTGCTCATCATTGCTCAGTCAATTGCTCAGTGACATCACTTTCTTCGCTTCCCACGCCTTCAACAGTGATCTCTTCAAGCTTTCGATGTTTTTGTGGAGTTTTGAACAAGCTTTGTCTTCTAAAAATCGATTGGGCTGAAATCTGGAGAGCTAGGTGGTCACTCAGAAAAAGAAATGATGTCCGGGAAGTTGTTTTAACAGAACTCTTAGATTGTCTTGGATTTTTGGCCCGGTTGTTTGTTGGTAATTGTTTATCAGTTATTAGTATTCATTGTTTGTTTACAGATTAGAAATAAATTCATTCAAAATAATTATGAGGGTAGGCTAATTTCCACAATTTTTTTTGCGCAACAGGATCATTTGTGCAACTCGTTTGTGCAACGCGCCATAACTTTCTTCTAAGTCATCCAATCTTTATGCTTTTGGTTTCATTTTGTAGATCTCAATAAGTGCAACAAAATGGCACCAACCAAAATCATAAAGATCGATCCACTTAGAAGAAAGTTAGAAGAAGCGCAAAGTAGCTACCTAGTTCCGCAAATGACCCAGCAAAGGACGCCATAACTTTCTTCTAGGTGGACCAATCTTTATGATGTTGGTGTCATTTTGTAAATCTCAATAAATGCAACAAAATGAAACCAAAAGCATAAAGATTGGACGACTTAGAAGAAAGTTATGTCGAGCCAAACGACCTAGTCGTTTGTCAACTGGGTCGTTTGTGCAACTCGCTATAACTTCCTTCTAAGTCATCCAATCTTTATGCTTTTGGTTTCATTTTGTTGCACTTATTGAGATCTACAAGATGACACCAACATCATAAAGATTGAGCGACTTAGAAGAAAGTTATGGCGAGTTGTGCAAATTGTAAAATTGTTGATAAAAAAATTTTATTTGAAATAAAGAATTTGACTAGAAAAACATGAGTAATGTATCGAGAACGTAGATGAAAACATTATCGCTGATGAGGTAATTGCAGACAAGAGCTGGCACGAGTTTCTTGCACAAACGACGAGATTTCTGTAAATGAAAGATTTTGAAAAACTGCCAAACTGTTAAAGGTCATGATTCCTAACATTTCCTGTATCATTACTACCGTAATCTCTGCAATAGTGACTTTAGAGTTAAAAGATCCTTTAATGCTTTACTTGCTTCACTGCTTTACTGCTTTACTGCTTTACTGCTTTTTCTTGCTTTAATGAGCTGATTGCTGATTGCTGATTGATTGTTGATGAGCTGATTGCTTTACAATGAATGTTTCCTTTAGAAAAAGGAAAAGAATTGAATGAAAGTGTTGCAGTTGCAAGTTAAAAGCTGAATATCATGAGGTTTCTGATTGGCATTAAGATATTCAGTTAGGGGCCTATTACGGGTTTTACGGTAGTTGTTGACGCAAAATTTTATTCTGCATCAAGTCATAGTCAAAATCGAAGGGTTGGTGCTGAGAAAAAAATGAAAAACTTTAAATTGCTAACGGCAAAATGTTAAACCCCGCCCATAATGTGCGCGGTTTAGGTTTTTAGCCAACAACTTTGCATGGATATTAGATTTTAAGTTGATTTTGGTATCATTCGATGCGCAACTTTGTTCTGCATCGAATGATAGTCAAAATCGAAGGGTTGATGGCGAGAAAAACAAGAAAAACCTTTTGCTAACGGTAAAAAAAGAATCGACAGATGTTTTTGTTACAAGTTCAATCAATTTTTACTAGAGCTTTCATTTCCCCAACGAACCCTGACAACCGGTGATTCCTCATCTTCTTCATCTTCATATTTTCGTCGTTTCGTTCTTGCTCTATTGATTTGAGGCGTTTCTTTGGTAAAATCGGGATTTTGAGAAGATTCACCGGGGCGATCTTGCTGAAAAGAAATCGTTGATAAGAAATCGTCCAAGAACTAGCATAAGACCTTAATCAAACAGCTAATTAGCATACAATTAGCTCAATTTTCCTCTCATTTGCTGAGTAAGCACAAGGCTCAATGAAGCACAAGGCTCAATGAAGCACAAGGCTCAATGAAGCACAAGGCTCAATGAAGCACAAGGCTCAATGAAGCACAAGGCTCAATGAAGCACAAGGCTCAATGAAGCACAAGGCTCAATGAAGCACAAGGCTCAATGAAGCACAAGGCTCAATGAAACAAAATTGAGCTGATTGAATGTAAACGAGCGCTTTGATTTCAATAGTTTACTAAAAAAGATATCTTTTAAACATTTCCATACCACAGGTTTCTGTAATCGCTCTAATTCGGATTCTCGTTGCTGAATCGAATCAAATCCATCTTCTACAATCCCCGCTGGCTTTTTCATCATTTTCTTATTCGGATCTCCATTTGGTGTGCAAAATTCACAAATCTTCAGCAAAATAGCAAAATATATAAAAGAAACGAATCTCATTCAGCATAAAATAAGCACTAAAGCTAGCAATTGTTCTAGAAAGACTAGGAAATATTGATTTAATGCCATTTTTCTTCTCATTTCTCTCATTTTCTCATTTTGGAAGATTTCTCTTGAGGAAAAACGGGTTTCTCGCATTTTCGTTACATTCGATTTTTTTGTTGTTTCGTAATGGAACTTTCTGGACTTTTTGGAGCTCATTTAACGAATTTAAGGCTAAGTTTTTATTAGATCAACCGTTTTCAAATAAAAGTTATGATTGATTTGTTCTGGAGGAGCAACTTGTTAGAATTGGTGTTAGATTTCTTTTAGATTAGCAACTTGAAAGTTGGTACACTTATTCATAGCACTTTTATTCATAGCACTTATTTATAGCACTTAGAAATAACTAGTGAACCAATTAATCTAATAAAAAGGCGCATTTTTCTCTCTAAAACAGGCTTTTGACAGAGTTAGACAAGCTTTGGCTTTGTAGGTTTCTAGGGGAGAAGAAGTCGAGGAACCAAAAATGATGAACACTCGATGAAGCAACACTTTCTTGCTTTCTTGAGCACTTTCTTTCACAGAAATCTATTTTAGTGTCAATCAAAAAAAAAGAGAGAGCATAACAAGTTAAATAACTTTTAAATACTTTTAAATAAACATTTAAATAAACAGCCAAATTCTCAGTTATCTAATCAATCGTTAAATTCGATTTTTTTGGTGTTTCGTAATGGAACTTTCTGGACTTTCTGGAGCTCATTGAACGAATCTAAGCCTAAGTTTTTATAAGATCAACCGTTTTCAAATAAAAGTTATGATTGATTTGTTCTGGAGGAGTTCTGGACTTGCTACTCTAGCTGTACTCTAGCTGTACTCTAGCTGTACCCTAGCTGTACTCTAGCTGTACTCTAGCTGTACCCTAGGTGATGATTTTTGCCGGGATAACCGCTAATGGAAAAACCCTGTTGATCTTTGTTCTTCAAGGTGTGAAAGTAGATGTGGTCAATTATTTGGACTTGCTAAAGAAAGAGGTTGTTGTGGGCCACTTCAAAACTAGAATTTGGACTTATCAACAAGATTGTGCGCCGGCTCAAAAGGCAAAGAAAGTGCAAGAGTTTTGTTCATTTAAAACCTAAAATCAAATACTTAAAATAGGGGAAATTTGTGATAAAGACAAATTTAATCTAATGCTTTTTAACTTTTCAGACTTTTTTAACACTTATTTTATCAAAGTGCCAAGATGATGACACGAAAAAGTTCTTGAGCTCAAGCAGCAGCGTGTTCAGGAGATCTCAAAGCTCCTTAATGTCCCCAGAAGCCTCGTTTCTCGAACCATTCAACGTTATGAAACTCTGGGCACAGTTTCTGATCGCCCTGGAAGAGCTGCAAAACGAACAGCGGTTACTCCGGCTAAGGTCAAGCCGGGATAACCGCCAAACCCTGTGGTTCTTTCTTCTTCAAGGTGTGAAAGTAAATGCAATTATTTGGACTTGCTAAAGAAGGAGACTGTTCCGTGGGCCACTTCAACAATCGAATTTGGACTTATCAAGATGGTGCGCCGGCTCACAAGGCAAAGAAAGTGCAAGAGTTTTGTTCAAAGACCTTCCCGGACTTGATCTCGTTTTCTGAGTGGCCACCCAGCTCACCCGATCTTAACTCATTGGATTACTCAGTCTGGAGTGTTCTTGAAGCCAGGGCATGTGCAAAACCACATAAAAATATCGAAAGTTTGAAGAAGGCGCTCATCAGAGCATGGGATACCCTTGATGATGCCGCTTTCAAATAAAAGTTATGATTGATCTATTCTGGAGGAGCAGGTTCGGCTTCTGTTTCTAGCTTCTTATTAGCCAAATCTTGTAATCTCAATTAAATTCTTTCAATTAATCAAATTGGTCAAATAAGTGAATCATAAGAAATTTTTGATGAAAACGATTCAGCACTTTAGTTCATTCGTTTAGTTTAAATAACCTCAACTAAGCTGTTTTTATTTTTCCTTTTGAAATCAAACAGCTCTAAAGCTTTGAATTTAAAACAAGCTTACAAAATCGATCATTTCCCAAAAACAAAAACATTACTTCCCATGCCGGGAATCGAACCCGGGCCGCGTGGGTGAAAACCACGAATCCTAACCACTAGACCACATGGGAGGACGGTCCGGGCTGCAAAAGGGGAATAGTTATGGCAACTACCAGCTGTCCTTGATTTTTTAATTGCGATTTTCGTGGGTGGCCGAACTTTGACCATTCTGCAGCCCAATTTTAGATAGGTTTTTGTTAATAACCTTTAACAAAACAAATAATTGACGTTCTAAGCTATCTAAATCTTATTAAAACCTGTTGATTTGATAAGTTTAAGGTAGTTAAAGATCAGTTGTAAGTTGGCGAAAAACTCGTCCCTCCCTCGGCACCCCCGTTAACTGTAAAACACTAAAAATCGCATACAAATTAATATACTAATTTGTGAAAGATTCAAGACTATTTTATGCGAATTTTATCGAAAAACCAAAACATTTCTTCCCATGCCGGGAATCGAACCCGGGCCGCGTGGGTGAAAACCACGAATCCTAACCACTAGACCACATGGGAGCATGGAAAGGGACAGAAAAAAGGCTTCTATAAGTGGTCCTCCATAAAGTTTCGCGAGAAATTATGAGAAGCACTGAATTTCGATGTTTTCAGTGAAAGATTTCTGCAATTGAGCTAAATCTGCTTTTCAATTTGATAATCAGTTTGAACTAACTATTGTACTATCGTAATTTGCCGCATAGAAGAACCCATACATCGAATTGAAAGTACACTTTTTTTTTTTTTTTTTTTTTTTTTTTTTTTTTTTTTTTTTTTTTTTTTTTTTTTTTTTTTTTTTTTTTTTTTTTTTTTTTTTTTTTTTTTTTTTTTTTTTTTTTTTTTTTTTTTTTTTTTTTTTTTTTTTTTTTTTTTTTTTTTTTTTTTTTTTTTTTTTTTTTTTTTTTTTTTTTTTTTTTTTTTTTTTTTTTTTTTTTTTTTTTTTTTTTTTTTTTTTTTTTTTTTTTTTTTTTTTTTTTTTTTTTTTTTTTTTTTTTTTTTTTTTTTTTTTTTTTTTTTTTTTTTTTTTTTTTTTTTTTTTTTTTTTTTTTTTTTTTTTTTTTTTTTTTTTTTTTTTTTTTTTTTTTTTTTTTTTTTTTTTTTTTTTTTTTTTTTTTTTTTTTTTTTTTTTTTTTTTTTTATTTTTTTTTTTTTTTTTTTTTTTTTTTTTTTTTTTTTTTTTTTTTTTTTTTTTTTTTTTTTTTTTTTTTTTTTTTTTTTTTTTTTTTTTTTTTTTTTTTTTTTTTTTTTTTTTTTTTTTTTTTTTTTTTTTTTTTTTTTTTTTTTTTTTTTTTTTTTTTTTTTTTTTTTTTTTTTTTTTTTTTTTTTTTTTTTTTTTTTTTTTTTTTTTTTTTTTTTTTTTTTTTTTTTTTTTTTTTTTTTTTTTTTTTTTTTTTTTTTTTTTTTTTTTTTTTTTTTTTTTTTTTTTTTTTTTTTTTTTATTTTTTTTTTTTTTTTTTTTTTTTTTTTTTTTTTTTTTTTTTTTTTTTTTTTTTTTTTTTTTTTTTTTTTTTTTTTTTTTTTTTTTTTTTTTTTTTTTTTTTTTTTTTTTTTTTTTTTTTTTTTTTTTTTTTTTTTTTTTTTTTTTTTTTTTTTTTTTTTTTTTTTTTTTTTTTTTTTTTTTTTTTTTTTTTTTTTTTTTTTTTTTTTTTTTTTTTTTTTTTTTTTTTTTTTTTTTTTTTTTTTTTTTTTTTTTTTTTTTTTTTTTTTTTTTTTTTTTTTTTTTTTTATTTTTTTTTTTTTTTTTTTATTTTTTTTTTTTTTTATTTTTTTTTGTTTTTTTTTTTTTTTTTTAAAAATTTTATTTACATCGATCATTTCCCAAAAACCAAAACATTTCTTCCCATGCCGGGAATCGAACCCGGGCCGCGTGGGTGAAAACCACGAATCTTAACCACTAGACCACATGGGAGGATGGAATGGCACTGAAAAAAGGGTCTTATAAGTGACAGGTCCTCAGTTTCACAAGAAATTCGTAAGGAATTTTGAAGTGAAAATTTCGTAAGGAAGAAAGGGACAGAAAGACAAGAAAAAGACTCTTTTAAGTAAGAAAGGAGGCTCACTTACAATTTTTGGAAAGGAAAAATGTAATTTGTATCTATGTCATATCCAATTTAGATTTTTAACCCATTTAGACTCAACAATAGTTTTAAAAACTCCTGCTTTGGCGAAATCATCGTTTTTCTCATGTTTTTGGGACAGTTTTTGATGCAATTTGCAATCAATGCAATTTGCCATCAATAAAACTAAAACTCAGTACACTTTTCCTTAAAAAATGGCTAAATTCGGTAAAAGTTGCGGGGCAACTACATGAAATTTCATTAGGCACGTATTTCAGCGTTTTTTAAAATACTCAAAGGGGACGCTCGTAGTGCTCGTAGTGAATGAAAAGATTTTTATAGATATTAGAGATTCTTGAGTCTAAATATAACAATATAACAAATATAACCACAAGAATTTCACAGTTTTCTTAGAAAATTCAAGGATTAACTGAAAGATTTGATGCTGTAAAGTAATCTAATCATTTATTCACTATGTACAGGAAATTAAGCCAAAACTGAGGTAAATTGGCATTGAAAAACCCTTTTTTTTAAGTTCATTTTACAGTTTCATTTCGCTTGTTGCTGTTTCTCAAGTTGATCCACGCATTCTGGACTACAGAAAACAAAAAGATCTCTTTTCGGAAATTGGCCAATCTGTTGCTCGACCATTCCACAATTCGAGCACAATTTATACCCAGCCGATTGCTTTTTCTCGATGAAACGATCGCCGAAGATTATGTTAGAACCTGAAAAGAAAAAGAAAAGAATCATTTTCCAAAAACCAAAACATTTCTTCCCATGCCGGGAATCGAACCCGGGCCGCGTGGGTGAA